ACTATGGAACATCTCTCAAAATGTCCTGTAACTTTGGTGAGTCATTTGTCCTCTTGTTCAGGAAGGATATGGAGACCCTACGAGATGGACTTGAACCAGTGTCCAGTCTACAAAGAGGAGGGTCAACTCAGAGGAAACATCTCATTCATGCTTCCAAGTGATGCCAGACATGGTCAAGCAGGATCTTTGACTTATCTTCACACAGATGGAACTGGTAAAAGAAAGAAGCCAGGAGCTCCTCCCAAGCCCATGTGACCCCTGAGGAACAACAGATCTTACATGACATTAGGCTTAAGTCCATATAAAAAGTTATTTAGACAATTATTTCTCATTGATGATTTGGTTCTGAATCAGAAAGTGCTGCTCAGATGTAAGACTTCAAATCTTGGTCTGCAACACTGTAGTGCCCACCTGTAGCTCAGGGAGACAACCTGCTATTGTTCTAAAATGATGTGTGAATAAATCTGCCCCCCTATCTAGAAGCCTTTGAGAAGGAACTGACACTGATTCTAACCACTCCAACAGCTATCAAAATACCTGAAAGCAAATTCTGAATCTGTCACTCTAGAGTCCAGCCTTGAAAGGCAAAAGAAAAATGAGGAGGAACCCAACAAGAGGAATGCTTTTGGAAGCCCTTGTCAAGAAACTCCAATGGACTCTCATATGAACATTTGAACACTGCCCTGTTCTGACTTTTCTCTAGTTCCCTGTCTAGATCTTGTAATGCTAATTACTCTTGTCTTTTCTTCTGCTTCACATTTCCTAGTCAGGATTCAAGGACTTACTTTTCCCCCTAGAGATAAGAGTTATGCAATTTGGGGGCCTTTTAGGTAGATCCACTGAAGGGGTACTCCAATTGCCTCACCCTGCATCCCTGTTCAGCATGGAAGAAGCCAGAGCGGTCTGCGTCCCGATTCCCTATTGGCAATTTGGGTAACCTCTTCAGAGGATGGTGTGATAAGAATAGGAGGTAGGAATTGGCTAGGCAGTTAGGGTAAAAAGACCCCAAAGAAAAGTAGCCAGTTTCTTGGCTAAAAGTCAAAATGTCCTTGGGACTGTTAGCAACATAGTCTGTTCCAAAGGCCAAAAATGTCAAAAGTATTTAGAAGCTTGTATCTAATCCTTTAAAGGATTTTAGGGTTACCTCTTCAGAGGGGGGAATGTTAGAGTAGCCAAAAGCCCCATAAAAAAATAAATAAATTGAAGAAGAAAGATTACATGAACTCATCAGAAAAAAGTGATGGGGAGATATGGGAGGAGTTGGAGGGAGTGGGCATGTATTTGATTAAAACACCTTATATACGCACGTATGAAATTCTCAATATTGGTTTTTTTTGGGGGGGGTCTTTTTTGAGACAGGGTCTCCCTGTAGCTCCCAGCTGGCCTGGAACTCACTATGTAGACCAGGCTGGCCTTGAACTCACAGAGATCCGCCTGTCTCTGCCTCCCAAGTGCTGGGATTAAAGGTGTGTGCCACCACGCCTGGCTTAAAGTAGTTATTTTTTTAAAAAAGAATTTAATTAGGATGCTGATTCAGTATCAAGACACACACACACACACACGTGCACGCACAAATTAATTAAATGTTCATCTAGTAAGTCAGTTAGAAAATGAAGTTTTAAGAGCTCCTATTGATAATAGCATAACAAATGAAGATAACCAAGAATAGATCCAACAAGGAAACCATAAAACTTCATTGAGAGATACTGAAGGACTAAGTATCTGAAGAGATACAGCATGGCTTTATGTCAGAAGAGTCAATACTGTAGAAACGTCACTTCTCCTTAAACTGATCTATGGGTACAATGCAACCCAGAGCAGTATTATATACCTTTTATGAGGAACCTAATAAAATATTCTAAGATAGTGATATAAATTATGGGGCTGCAGAGATGGCTGAGTAGTTAAGAGCACTTGCTGGTGTTCCACACAACTTTAATTCAGTTCCCAGTACCCATGTTGAACAGCTCACAGTCACCTGTAACTCAAGCTCCAGAATATTCAAGGGACTCCAAAAGTAAGGAGAAGAGGAACTTATTACAAAACTGTAATAACAGAACCAAAGCACAAGTATAGAAACTACAGGGACCAGTGGAAACGTTTACATGTCTATAGATACTTGATGTATGACAATGAGTTGAGGTCAATGAACAAAAATGAACATTTCCATAGGTGGGCTTGAACAACTGGCTATTTTAAATGAATAAATATAATTAGAGCCTTATCTACATCATTTGCAAAACTCATTTACAGGTGGCAGTTTGTTTTTAAACAAAAATGGAACCACCTGATACATTTTAAGTTGGGTTTTTTTATTTAACAATATATGGTGAGCATCTTGCCACATAAAGATTAAATATTACTTTAAATAAATGTGCTAACATTTATTTAATCAGTCTGATTATTTAATGTTTTGCTATTAAACAATAAACATACTTATTTAAGATATTCCAACTCTCTCATACTCCATACTCCTAATGCTGATTTCATATTATGAATATACTACTTTTAATGATAAGCAAACATTTCAAGCCATTACATGGCCGCTATATTGTCTTTAAATATTTCATTGTATTTGCTTTTGCAAAGTGGTAAGGGAAAAGAGAGAAACTGAGTATGTTTCTACTAGTGATAAGAAGCATAGTATCACAGGCTTTGTAATTAGCACAAAGATACAAGCATTCAGCATCTGAATGTGGCTAATCTAGAGCTACAATCACCACTCACTGAGCTCAAACTATTCACAGGTATTCAGTCTTCAGAGAAAAGAACAATGGCAAAAGAACATGGAACAAATACTAAAACTGAATTCTTAACCAAAGACTAAGAATAATGAAAATGTGTAATAGAAATTTTATCTTCCTTTTAAAAATTCCCCTGGAACAGAATCTACTTTTTTAAACCTAACCCACTTTCTTTCACCAGTGTTTTCAGAATTCCATGTAAGTAAGCAAAGGCCTTATATACTTACCCAATCATTTCCATCAGATATTTACACTTAATAGGCTCACATCTACATTTAGTAGGGCAAGGGGTACGCATGTATTTTAGGGACTTTATATATGTTACCAAGTTGCCATTGAGAAAGAAGGCTCCAGTTTACATTCACATTAGGAATATATGAGACTGCTCAATTCCCCATGTACACCAACCTTGAGCACTATAGTGCTTTTTAATGCTTGACAACTCAAGGTACTATTTTAATTTGCATTTCTTTGAGGATGAGCATTTATTGTGCCCTCATCTATAAAATATAAACATTATGAAATTGTGGGCTTGAGGATTACATAAATTAATATATATAAAATTCTTGGGACAATGCCTACCACATAGTAAATACTCAGCAAATACGAGCTCTTTTTCTCAAAATGTATTCTCTTATGTATTTTCTAATTTTACCCTTGGCCATTGTTTAATATTAGTCCTCTGTCCACCCCCTATTGATTTATTTGAGGACTCTGTGATAGGGAAAGCTAGTAACTGCTGTTCTAGCACAGTCTAACATGGTTCCCAATTGTCATTCAAAAGTCTATCCTTTTAAATACGTAGCTGCATGCAGCAATATATATTTCACTTGGGTGTCATGCTCAGAAAACCTTTGTACTTCATAATGACAGCCAAAATTTAAATCTTACTCTAACACTTCAGTCATCTAGTTACAGTGAATTTCATTCTTTCTTTAATTCAATAGAACAGGAATCAATTTATAAGGCAAAGGAGCTGTGTTTCCAAGTATTTTGCAACAGACACGTGTTCCTTTTACAAGCAGGCAGCTCAGCCCTCCAAACATTAATGCTGGGACTAAACTTTTGACTACATTGCAACTCCATCTGCCAATTTTCTGACTGGCTAGGATAATATAATAGTGATTAGACTACTTTGATTTGCATAAAAGCTGAAGATATTAATTACCCCACAATTAAGAATGACTTCTATTGGTACTGTCATTAACACCAATAACTAAAGTTTCCTCCATTCTAGGGTCAGTAAACTTTCTCTGAAAATGGTCAAATGATAAGTATCTAAGGCTTTTAGGCCACATAGTCTCTGTCATATAGAAATGAACATGTCTGTGTTATAATACTGCTTTATTTATGGATATTGAAATGTGAATTTCACATATTTTTCATGTCACAAAGTATCATTCGTTTGACTTTCCAGCACTTATAATTAGAAAATCAATTCTTTGCTTATAGGCCACTTAAAAGCAGCTGAAAGCCTACTTTGCTTTATTTCACCTTCTGTGCACTATGCTGTTTCTGTGCACTGTCTATAGCAGCGCTACCCAGGGTTCACATCTGTGCATTTATATGGAAGCTACTACCTACAGAAGCCCATTGAGCACTTGAAATATAGCTAGCAGGACTGAGGAACAGCACTTTAAACTTCATTTTAGTCCAATGTAATTTCAATTTAAATAGTCACATGATGCTAACAGCAACAGCTGTGGACATTGCATGTCTATAGACTGCATCCTAATTAAATCATAAATATGAGCCTGCATATGGTGCCATACTGGCCTGTAAGTCCAGCATTTGGGACGCTGAAGCATCATGAATTTGAGACTAGCCTGCACTACATAGCAGAACCCCGTCTCACCCAAAACAACAACAAAAAAGGCCCTTGTGTATAAATATCGATCTGTGTGTTTCTGCTAGGGATGAATCTGTATGCTTAATATAGTCACAAAAATAATGGATACTTAATCAAGTAAAAGTTCAACATTTTTTCCATTCCAGTGACTTTAAGAGTGGCTAGCTTTTCACTTTTCAAGACTTTGTCCTAAGTTGTCCGAAGGTCAACCAGGCAACGACCAAAATCCTTGTTCAGAGCCCTTGAGCCTCTACACCAGAGTGCACTGAGCTGCTCTCGGAGCACAGGGCATCCTCCTGTACTTGCTCCTTTCTTCTATCCCCACAGCAAAAAATACAAATGCTGAATTAGTGCAGGAAAAGCCTGTCTCTCTCACACCAAATACTTTTTAAAATGAGCACACTTACCATCAGGTCAAGCTGGCTATTCCGAGTTGTGATGGACAGCTCAATAGTGGACAACTGTACATCTTTCCAGACCTCTGTGTTCACCTCTCGGGAGAGGGCTGTGGGAATCCATCAGACATGGGTCAGCTTTTCTACTGACATTCACAGACACCCCAACCACTGAGCTGCCAGGGGCACAGTGTGGCTTCCTCAGCCCTTCTCCAAACTCTGCACTTGAGCTATTTTTCCTTTCATGCACAGGGATAAAGCACCAGGTGCAAAGCAGCTCTCCATGCTTAAAGAACTCTTGATGAAAGCAGCCACAACAGTACAAATGTCAATGACAGAAAGGGTGCTCAAGAAACGCTGTGTCCACTCACAAGACACAGATCCTGCTCTGGCGGCACCTAGAGGTCTGAATCAACAATGCTGGAATGGCTCCTCCAGCCCTAGTTAAGTATCTAAAACTGATTCTGGGTGTCTGATTGAGGGTACTTCTAAGCTGAGTAGGGCTTGCAATTGGCAGTCACCATGTCGCTCACCATCCTGTGGTTGTGCCCAGAATGAGGCAAGCCTGCGTAATATTCTCCTGTACAGAGAAGGCCGGGGAGGGGTCTCTTCAGGCCCACTGGGAAGCCTCTCCGTAGGTCCTGTGTAGGAGATGGAGGCCTGATGAGTCTGGGGCCACTCCTGTTAATGGGGAAGAAAACAACTTTGTTATATGTACCTAATTCCTAACTTTGCTCTGCAAAGGTTGGCGTTCTAATAAGCTAATAAATGCCTCAATGGACAGACTCCTCTCTACTGTGGAAGCCCTCAATCTTCCTTTTCCTCTTCAAACTACCTTGAAAACCATGAACACCAACCAGTGACTGTTCTCACTACTGCTCCTCCTGACATACAACAGAGAAAAAACCGAAGTGGACTGATGGCTACGGCTTATGTGTGCATAACAGAAGTCACTATGAATGAGCATACAGCGGTCCCATTAGAACTTACCTTTGCTTTACAGACGACGCAAAAATGAAACTACTGGAGTCAGTTGCACCACATCCCCAGTTCACTGTTGGCATCACACTCCACAGAGGCCAGAATGCTTTGGTGCAGTTCACAATTCAAATCCAGCCCAAGGCCTCTCACTTCTAATTCAAAGCCCATCATTCTCAAACTAGATTTTAAAAAATTTTTATTTTACTTATTATCACTGTTATTATGAGGGGGCAGGGGGAGGGGAGGAGGAGGGGGAGGGAGAAGGGGAGAGTTGTTGGGCATATGTGGTGCTGCTGCTGTGTACATCAAGGCCAGAGGACATTTGGGAATTGGTTCCTTCCTTCCACCGTAGGTGCAGGGACTGAACTCAGGTCATCAGGCTTATGCAGCAACTGTTTTTTATCCTCTGAGCCATCTCACCAACCCTCACACTAAATATTTTGTCATCCTAGCACCCCAAGTCTAGTGTCATCAGGGATCCATCTACAGGAAAAATTAAAGCCATACCCGAGCATCTCAGCATGTGACATCACCTGTATTTCACCACACCCACCACGTCTGTGGCACAGCCTGGCCCTTACTGTGATGTAAAACTATTCCACCTTGGATAGCCAAAACCCTGACAGCCTACTCTAATCACATTCCATGTTCTTATGGTTGATTCTTTTGTGCGTACTAAGTCTTATAGTGAACTAATTCCCTGCTGTCAAGTTTCCACGGACTGAATTAGAAAGCAGTAACAACCCTAGCTTCTCTTGTTTACACCTTCCAAGTCCAGAAGCTGGAATGCCTGGGCCCAGCCATCCTCCCTTCCTGCCAGTAGGTATCCCTGAGATGCATTCACTGCTTCTTCACGCAGTAAGGAAGCTTCTGAGGGTGGTCTCTGCACCAAAGGGCTGTTTTAGGTGGATAAATTCCATCTGGAATATTAGGAAATTAGACCGTGTCTACATATCTAGGCTATGCCTTTCACTCCTGCTCACATTTAGGAAGCTGACACTGTTTTAACTCCAATTGTCTTGTTCCTGTATGTCTTTACAACTTCGTTTAAATTCAGAAGGGGAAGAGAAGGATGCAGTTTTGGTCTCTAAAGACCCTAGCCATACTGGTTTTCAATCACACAGAGAATTCCTATCTTTGACCATTCCATTTTCTCTCAGAGCCAAATTAATAGTTGATTCCTTTACATACCTTTGTCTATTACTTTGCCCCTTTTGAACGTTTATTCATTTACAAAGGGTTCCAGTTCTGAATCAGTCTTGTGACTAGGTTTCTGTACTCCTGCATCAGGCCTCAATATTCATTAGAGAACACCATCCTCCTGCTGAGTATTGACAGAAAACACACCCACTCAAAGAACACATCGGGGTCACTGCAAATTCCAGGACCCCCCATGCTGCTTGGTAGTCCTAATCCTCTTGACTTCCATATTTAGATCTTCTGTGCCACCTTTGCCAACCATCTGCCACTTTCAGCTTCAATGAGCATACTGGGTATAGCGGTTAGAAAGTCCTAAACCCCCATAAGCTCACTTTCACCCTAACCTAACCTCTACTCTCCCATTTCACGGAAAAGGGCATCCCTTCCCCATCCAAGGATAATGCAGCCCTCTGGATCCCGCAGCCTTCCATCTGTGCATGGGGTTTTATCAGCTCAGTCATGTTTTCTGTCTCCTTTCTATTCCCTTCCCTCCAGTCTTCTTTTCTTCTGCTTAAGATATACAAAGACATGGACATTCATCCAGTCATAAAACCAGTCCTCTACTGCTCTCCCCTTTCTCTCAGCTATTTTCATCTCCTCCTCCTCTTCAAAGTCAAGTACCTTGAGGAAACAGTCTACTCGTGCAGTCATGACATCATTACCATTCATTCCCTCACTTTCTTCAATTTAGTCCAAAACCTCCTATTTTGGAAGTTGCCAAACTACTGGTAGCTATCAAGTTCAGTGGACTTTCCTGTTTCTACTCATACTCTGCTGTCACTTCTTAAAATTTGTGCTTTTCTTCGTGAAGTTCCTCTTCTGTCGGCTGCAATTTTGGGATTCTCAGATGTCTCAGTAATATCAGTCATTTTTTCTAACTTTCTAAATGTTTATATCCCTCTGTGCTATTCCTGGCCTCTGTTCCTAATGGTAACTTCACCAAACCCACAATTTCAATGCCAGCCACATACTTATGACATGGAAATCTACTTCTTCACCCTAGACCCCTCTGTTGAGTTCCAGACCTTAATCACAGTTATTTCTGAACTTGTTTGTACCACATGCTACATTCAGCACATACCAAACTGAAATTTCACCTTCTTCCACAAACTTGGTTTTACTTTCTTATCATCAATGTGAATGGGAAAGTGAGTCACACAACTTTAGTCCCTCAGACCCGAAAACTGGCAATTCATTGTTCTTCCAGCTTTGACTTCAACAGCACTGACCCATCTTGCACTGTCAGTGCTCACTGTTAACAGCTGTAATCTATACCTCTCCACTTACTTTTCCCCATCACTGGATGACCAAAAATCTCTCAGCGGTCTTTGCCTTTAGCTACTCATATCCAATCTTTTGTCCACATTGCTGGAAATAAGTTTTTCCAAAACACAGATCTGATTATGTCAAGGCCTGCCTGACCTTCCCGCTTCATTTGCAGACATTTGGCATTGATTTTAACTGAAGACCATGGCTTACCACAGTGACTTCACACAGTCTATCTCTCTACTCTCTAATCCTGTATAGTTCTAAGACTAGCATAAATTTCACCTCCCTCAGGAAGGTTTTCTGACTCTCAACTTTAGATGGCCCTTTCCTCTGCTCCCGTCCTGCCCTCCCACATTTCTCTCCATCTGTCAGATCACTGATGGACTTGGCACAGGATTACTTCCTGAGGCTGAGAGCCTGTGCAATTTGGCCTCATAAGCCAAGCACAACCCAAATAAGCACTTGCTCAATACATAGTGGAAACAGTTGATAGTATTTAGAGCACCACCATTTAAACAGAGAACTCCTACATCCACCAATGAAATGATGCTCTTTAACAATACTTTTTATTAATGTTTGCCTTGGGTGTAGAAAAAGTCTAGCCTTCCTAATTTGAACTTTAAAATTTTTATATTTACTTCTAGTGCTTTACTGACTTATTTTTTACATTAATTTTTTAATCCAGCTGGAATTAAAAAAATATTTTATTTATTACTTTTATGTGTATGAGTGTATTGCCTGCATGTAAGTAAGTGCACCTGTGTTGTGCAATGCCGCAGAGGTCAGAAGAGGGTTTCGGATTCCCCTGGAACTGGAATTTTTTAAAAAATTTTTATTATTTTTATTTTATGTGTATGAGTATATTGCCTGCATGTATGTGAGTGTATCCATGTCATGCAATGCCATGGAGGTCAGAAGAGGGCTTCGGATTCCCCTGAAACTGGAGTTAAGGATGGTTCATAGCCACCATGTGGGTGCTGGGAATCGAACCCAGGTCCTCTGCAAGAGCAGTCGGTGCTCTTAACCACTGAGCCATCTCTCCAGCCCCCAACTGGAATTTTTTAGAAGGTTAAGGGAGTTATATTTTCCAGTGGATATACATATTATTTTTATAATTAGAGGAATACAGATAACTTTAAATGTTAAAAATGGAACCAAGTTTCTCACTACTGATTTTCAGATTAGCCAACCAAACTGTAACTGTACTGTTTATATGTGCATAAAAGATATAGTAGATAGTTCAGCTATTAAGAGTGACTTTTATTAGCATGTCATTCATATACATCTGTTGAGCTTTTTTTGCCTATGCCAAGATTTTTACTTTTTATTTTGTTTTGGGGTTATTTCTTTCTTTTGTCTTTCTCTCCCCCTTTCTCCCTCTCCCACTCTCCCCCCTTCTCTCCTTCCTTTTTTCTGTGTTGGTAATCAACCCCAGGGCTTTGCACATGCTAGGCAAGTGTTCTACCACAGTGCTAGGCTATGCCTCAGGTTCTAATACTTATTAATATATTGTATATAGAGGCTGGAGAGATGGCTCAGTGGCTAAGAGCACTGATTGCTCTTATAGAGGACCCAAGTTTGGTTTCCAACACCGACATGGCAGCTAACAACCATCCATAACTCCAGTTTCATGGGATCCATTGCCCTCTTCTGGCCTCTATGGGCACTGCATGCTCATGTTACACTTACATATATGTAGGCAAAACACTCATACACATAAAATAAAAATAAATTTAAAACAAATTTAAAGCACCTATAATGTACTGTATGTAGTAGCACTGCCCAGCAGAACTTTCTGATGATGGAAGAGTTCCGTATTAGTACTGTCTAATATAGCAAGTACTATCCACATTTAACTAGCAGTTTGAAACCTTCTGATATTATATACAAGCCTATGTAATTACTATGCATTATATATATGAATAATATATATTCCAGTACAAATCTTCAGTTCATGCCCAGGTAGTAATAGAGACACACATACAAATGATCTAGATATTCCATTCATTCTGTTCCAGGTTTGTCTGGCAAGGATGAGTCAACAACAAAGGAAATATTTAAGGACAAAGACATATGGGTTTGGCCACAGGGAGAATGAGTATATATATGAGAAGTCCTTGCTTATCAAAACAAGCATGTTTTCTGTATTGTATAAATTGAATGACTCCCCCCCTCCATTTTAGTGTTGGGTTGGAGCATGTTACATGGCTCTATAACAATGAATTAAAAAGTATCTCAAATATACACATCACAGAGAACCAGCAAAATACAGGGCAAGTTATACATTGTAAGCCGTGTTTACCTGAAGAGTGCTGAGAAAGTGGGCTGCTTTGATTTTTAGTGGCCCAAGGTACCAGTACCTGAGAAAAAGCAGGATAAAAATATGAAAAGGGGATAAATGTGACAGGTTCAGTTCATGACACTTAGTTCATTAGGATTATAACTCCACTGTGACTGGCTGCTCTGTAGGCTTGAGGATTATGGCACACACAAAAGTAATACATTTTTAACCTATACTTCAATGGTACAACTAACAGTATGCAACTGGAGAGTAAAAAAATTCTTATAGTTCATTAAATAGTTATATTATGTCTCTTTGAACCCCTAAATTAACAAGAGTTATTATAATATAGACTTTCAACTACAGAACACTTGAACATATGGTCAAAAGAGCCACAAAGAGGGCAATGAAGTTACATGAATATCATTATTATAGATGCTGCATGATCTAATACACATGAGAACATGTTACAAGACACAGGACTGGATTCTGTATCCCATGTCCCTCCCATGCACAATGTACACACATTGTAAACCTGTACACATTCACATTGCTCAAATCATACAGTTTTAATATGGCAAGCAGAAAGGCCCAGAGTGAAGATGATTTATTGCAGATTGCTAAATACATAAAAACTACTGAAGAGAGGAAAATGCCTAATTGAAATTAGAAAGTAATACAGATTCCTTTCTTAAGACTTATCTTTGTTGCCAACCATACTACTTTACTGCTTCTGGTTGATTCTGATCAAAATGCCTTCATTTAGCTCCTAGCACATATACGGGAAAGGAAGTAGAGGAATAAAGCGTACAGAAGAATACCATATAAAATTTCCACCTGTGGGCCCACGATTTGAGAAGGCCCCCAGAGTAACAGGAAGTAATCAATGACTAGATATATCGTGGAAGAAACTGATCATTATTTATTGGTAAGAGAAGTTAAGAAGTGTCCAAAAAAAAAAAAATCATTAGGGGCCTGATATCACTGGTGCAGCATCACTGGTATGAGAACAGAGCAGGGGCATGGAGCTCCGAGAGTGGCTGGGAGTGAGCTGGATCTAGACACATGCAAGAGGGAGAGAAATCATTCTAGACAAGAGGAGGAGTTTTTATCCAGAGCTGGGAAAGATTAAAAGATATATAATTATATATGGGGCAAAAAAAATTTATTATATTATTAGGGCACTGTAAGTTGGGTCTGGATTCCCAGAACAAGGAAGTTAGATTCAATCCGATGTAGAACCATTCTAAATTAATCAGGTTAATATTGTCCTGCTATTAATGAGGGCCTTGGCAATCTGTTTTGTATGTTCCTTCTTTAAGCTCACCTTGTAGTTTGCTTCTTTCCCAGCTAGCCAAATAGAAAAGCCTCCTGACTCAGGTGGTTCATCTCTAAATTGTCAGAATTCCTTTCACCTCTACCAGTAGGAAATTCTGATGTTATGCTTGTAGTCTTCCCATACCAACTAGGGAATGGCTTCTTATATGCCTTCTGTTTCTTCTTTCACACAAAAAGAAATTCAAAGGTCAGCCCTAGCCAAGAAATATAACTACCACTAGACTTTAAAATCCATTGCTCGCGAGGCTGGAGAGATGGCTCAGCAGTTAAGAGCACTGACTACTCTTGCAGAGGACCCAGGTTCGATTCCCAGCACCCACATGGCGGCTAACAACTGTCTGGACAAAAGTCCAGTTCTAGAGGATCCTATACCTTCTTTTGCCCTCCGCAGGCAATGCATGACACAGGTACAGTTACACACACGCAGGCAACACACTCATACATATTAAAAATAAAATAAGCAGAATATTTTAAAAAACACACACAAAATCCATTGTTTGGAAACTAGCTAAAATATGGGGGCAAGTATATGGGGTATTCCTAAGACAGCCAACCTGTGCTTATGCTTACTTAGCTGGTGATTAGAACATTTTGGAAAGCAATTAGTTCTGACCAGACTTTCACAGAGAAAGCTAAGCAATTCCTCTTGGTGAGCTGCGGGAATATGAGATTACAGATCAAACACAAGGTAATTTGTGCAATCAACATAATCATGGCATGCTTGCAAATAAAAAGATGTGGAGCATTTAAGACTGCAGTGTATAATGTAATACAGTGATATTTCTCTTCTGACAGTTCACTGTCAGAAATTTTATTACCAGGAATAATAAAGTGAAATTTGTGAGAAATTTCTACAAAAAAAGTCTGACAGGCTGGCCTACAGAGTGCAAGAGCAGTTGCTTGATGAGAGCTGTATATGAGATCAATCATAATTCAGCTCAACTATGTAAGACCATAAGCTCTGGACTTTAGGAAAAAGAAAGAGAAGACTTCCACCAGGAATGATATGACCCTCCTTGGAGTCTCCTTCGGGCCTGCCTCAGGAAGCCCAGTCAAGCTTTGTCTCCACAGGAAACATGACACACCCTCTCTCCAAGCAAAGACTATCATTCCATACTATGGCTTCACCAAAAATAAGTCTCTGCCTTTTGAATGCCAGCAGCAGCCCCCAATTAGCTCCTCTAGGGCCAGCTCTTTCATGTCACAGTAGAGCCAGGCCTCTACCTTCCTTCTTTCTTTAAGCAGAGCAGCCTATGGTCTCTCTATCTACGAGCTTAAACAAAAAAAAAACTCTCTGAAAGTCTTCTGACCAACTATGGCTGTGAAGTCCCAGAAGGCTGAGGTCCAGGCAATACCTTCTCCCTGGTATCCAGCTAAGCAGCTACTGAAAGATAAGCAATCCAGCTTTCCCTTCTACATAGCCTGAACCTAAGCTATGTTCAAGTATGTCTAAAAATGGAGACATACCGTTCTCTTTAGCGATCATCAAGCTAACGCTGAAGAAACTGGTGCTTTCATCACATTTTCTGCCTAGAGAAGAGAGCCACACACAAGCCTACCAAAAAGAGAGGCTGACCTCTCATCCCTCTGCTGTGTACTTACTCAAGCAGCACATTGGTTTTTCAACTCCCTGTACTCATCTATCCTGGAGAGAAGGACCTAGAGCGAGAGCACCTTAGAGGTGCTGGCGAGGCACCTGCTGACTGACATGGCAAGGGCTTGCCCCTCAAGCACCAAGCAGAGAGTTCCTATCTTATTATGCATACCTAATTTCACCTCCAGGGCCAGCAGATTTTTTCAGACCATTGTATTTTAAAGCTTCAAAAGCAGGAACAGAACAAAAATTTTTTAAAAATTATGACATCATTTATCAACACAGACATCCTTTACTTGCTAACTTTGACGCCAGCATCTCTGAAGGATCCCCATCGAAGGCCAGTCATTGCAAACACAGGTTGGTCCTTCTCACCCTGGAAGTTAAATACACCTGATTTAGCTTCATGAATAGAATAACTTATGATACTCCCTACACATAAGTTCATGGCCTACTTCTCATCAAACCAGAAACTTAAAATGTAATTTCAAATACTAAAGCAATTAACCCTTTGAACACATGGTTAAGAGTACTTGAAGAATCCACATTGTAAAACTAAGTAATTTTATAAATCAGGTCTCATAAATCTGACAAGGAAACATTCGCTGCAATTCTGAACAGCTAAATTCCAATAGCTGAAAACTGAAAGGTACGAGGTCCCCCCACCCTATTCTAAAAGGTACAAAATATTAGATAAAGCTCCATAAAGTTTACTGAAAGGCAGAAGGATTGCTTGGATTCTCCCACACCAGCAGTCCACCATGGGCAACATAAGCCAAGATACCTGGGGGAGAATATTCAACATTAGAAGTTGCTGGCCTAGAGAAAGCATGTTGTATCTTTTGCTCAGGGGATTGAGTAATTCCTCACTCCCATTCCCACTACATCAAAGGCAAGCAAGGGATTTGAAGAGAGCCACACACGTCTACCAAAAAGAGGCTGACCTCTCATCCCTCTGCTGTGTACTTACTCAAGCAGCACATTGGTTTTTCAACTCCCTGTACCTTTGGAGAATTCTCAGTTCATGCTAATGGGGTTTGGGTTGTTCTCTAAAGAACTGGAATCAGGTTTTGTGTATAATGCTTACAGTATTAGGCTTTGTCTACAATGACTTTCTCCATATTCTGAAAGCAATTTCCAGAAATAAGGAGAAGGGAGAAAATAAATGAAACTGCGCTAGGTTCCTGAGAACCAAGGGTAGAGGCTGCTGTACCATGTTTTCTAGGTACTGCTATAAAATGTTTGTGCTTCGTGAGCTTGCCGTTAATACAGTTTGTGATAAATCTAACACTGGTTTTATCAGTTCACAAAATCAGTATATTTGAGCAGGGGCAGACAAGAGACGTTTAATCATAAGCGCAACAAAATTTTCTAGTTAAATTATAATTGCTTTGAAACATATTACTTCTAAAACATAATTACAAATACTAAATCACTCAGTTATTAAGAAATATATCCCAATTCACCTCTTTTGGTAAAAATCTTATTTTACAACAATATCTTCATAGATAGAGCAATCTTCAGTTTTGCCCTTTAATCACAATGCTCCTGTTTTGTGAAAATGATTTAGCTGTTTTACATGCTAAAAGATCAACTGCAATTTAGATTATGATACTGAGATGATGAAGAGTCTAGACAGCACTGCATGAAGAAAACAGGCTGTAAATGTGGGGTTCACCAATTGTAAACAGGTACTAGCAAATTCCATACAGGTTAAGTCGCTCTTAACTGAACTATATGATACCAGAAATGTTCCTGACTTGGGAGTTTTTCAAATTTTGGAATATTTGCGAAAACTATTGACTGAGTGTTCCTAACCCCAATCCAAAATGTGGTGTCTGAAATGCTCCAAACTTCAGATTTGAAGCATTTGAGATTTGGGGATTTTCAGATTAGGGATGTTTAACCATTATAAGAGCTACTTTTAGGGAATAAAGTTGGGAATCAGAGTACAATATGGATTCTTAAAACTTTTACAAATATCAGGAAATGAGTAAATGTAAGATGCTCATCCTGAATGAGCCAGTGTAATTAAGGTCAAATCTGAGCAGCATACTCAGGACTCATAATTGTAAGGCAATCTAACTTTGCAGTGCTGTCTGAGGAATTTCTTTTTACTTCTTTTTTTTCAGGAAAAAAATGTTAGATGGAGAAAGAATATGTTTAATGATATCAAGTAAGAATATGTTTTCTAAGACTTAAGAGAGAATGTTAGCCAAAAATTAGAAATTGCAACTGGACCTTCTCTCCCTTGCCCCAAATTTTTATTTTGGAAAAATGTAACGCAATAATCTCAATTGTACAATGAGCACCATTTACACCTCTCACCTAAATTCACTAGTGCCAAGGTCTTCTCCACATAGCCTTACCTGTGTGTATGTTTGTAATGTTGAGGTTGAAAACAAGTGTCAGACTTCCTCAGAGTACGGATTTCACAGATGGAGTCACAACACCAATACCACTCTCAAAGAATCTAACAATGACATATGATATCTAAAATGTGGTTCATATTCAACTGAGTGTTCTCATAATGTCTGTAATGACTACCACTGGTTTTCATTTTTCAAAGGTGGGATTCTTTACTAGATTTAGTTTTATGCTTCCCAACCTTCACAGACTGCTTACTTTCTTTTGGATTCCATAACACTGGCATGCTTGCAGAGGGCAATCTAAATATTGTTTAGAATGTCAATCAATTTGGATTTTTCTGATCAGTTTCTCATGAGTTAGCATTTCAGACTGGAAGCTGACAGTGATTCTCAGGAGGCAGAAAAGGTTATTTTGCTTCATGAACAAAGTAGCATATGCTAGATTTCCTGACTTCCGGGGTATACTTTTTAATTAGTAAGTAAATTTGAGAAATGTATGTATATTTGTTTCCCAGTAGCTTTTTATTCATTTGTTTCTACTGATGATCTTGACCTAAAATCAATGATCAAAATGGTGACTGAAAAATGATATATTCTGTACCTAATTTTTATGTAAGGCATTATAGTCAATGGGTATTATTGTTCTTTATGAAATCCAAACCATCTCCAAATCAGTGAGGGCAAGAGGACACCATCAGGCTGGCTCTTAAACCTTCTGTGATGTCCCATCCATTGCTGAATATTTTCTTACCTCACGCTTACCCTGCCTTTGACAACCACAATTTCACCTAGTCCTGGTATTTTTTTTTTTTTTTTATTTAATTACCGTAAATGGGGGACCAAATTTGGGAAACAACCTAGGCCCCCGGGTTCAATTTCCCCTAGTCCTGGTATTTTTTTTTTTTTTTTCATTAGATCACAGTAATTGGAGACCAAAATCTGAGTACCAACTAGGCTCACTGGTATAAGGTATATAACTGCTTCTAAGCCTTTCACTGGGCATAGCCAGCAAATGTATTTCTAAAACAAATCATGAGTTCCTCTACAGACAGTAAGAAAATGTTAGATAGCTCAAAAGAAAAATGCAGTTCAATTCCTAAGGAGGATGCAGGACGCTACATAAAACATTGTTCTCAACTTAAGGGAAAGGAGGGTAGACAAGTAAAAAAAATCACGGCTTTTCTTAAGCTCATCAGGGAACTAAGATGGTAAGACAATGAAGCAATCTGAATTACAAAGGACAGGCTGGTCCAACAGGACATGAGAAAGGTTTCGCTGTTGACATGGAAAGGAGCAGCTGGCTTATACACAGGTAACAACATCAGTCACTGCCCTAAGTACTTTATATTATGAGTCTTTTTCTTTAAGGCAGGGTCTCATCTTGTGCCAGGTGGCCTCAAACTTCCTAGGTAGCTGAGGATGACCTTAAACTCCTAACCTTTCTGCTTTCACCTACAGATGCTGGGATTAATAACACACACAACAATGTCTGGCCTTAGGAGCTCTTCTAATATGCAAAACAACCACATGTCCACTAATTTCTTGTGGTCTAGAGGTAATCAGTAGAGGACTTAAAACCAGAGATACAATTATATTAGGAAGAGATATAAAGCAATTCTTGTATGTGACATAGAGGCCAAGAGATAATGTTGAAAAGTGATGTATCAAAAGTTAGCACCATACACTCAATACTACTGAACTATACACATAAATGACTAAACATGTACATTTTATGTGATTTTTCTAATCAGAGTATTTTCCTTTTTTTATTAAGTGAGGTTCTAGGGATTGAACCCAGGGCCCTATACATGGTAAACACATATTCTATCACATATCAGTACATCCATGACCCACCATAATGGTTTCTAAAGTGGGGTCAAAAGATATTAATTAGCGATAATACAATTATGGATAAATTTTTCTCTGGGGATACTTGGGGTAGGAAGGGAAAGGAGACTGTCCTGTTCATCATAGTCCTGTTTGACCATTATACTTTATTTTCCTTACATGTGTTTATTACATTGACAACTTTTCCAAAATATTAAGGAAAGACTTTACCTTGATCTGCAAGACATCTAGTGGAACTGTCTCCCCTTTCACAATGGCAAGTGTGGCGTCAGTAATATGTCTAAATAGGAAAACAAGAGAAAAGATCATGTTGTGAAAAGTAAACGAGAGAGAGAGAGAGAGAGAGAGAGAGAGAGAGACTGACTATCCTAGCAGGATAGAAAAAGTAGAACAAAAGAATTATTACTAGAAATGCAGTCCAACACTCAGATAGAGACCCAGAGAAAAAGCTTTGGCAAGGAGAAGTTTACATAAGGTATCAATCATTTAAGATTTATTGAATCTCTCCATTATACTTCATATTATTGGGAAATGAAAATGTGGTACTTAAATAAAAATACAACATCACCTATTCATTATAAGAGACAGCCACTTGGAAAAAACAGTATTTCTTTCTACTCAAACAGTTAGAAATGTAACTAAAGGACAGGACCTGTTACGGTTATCTTAGCAAAATATAATCTAGAACCCAAGACAAATTTCTCCTATTTTCCAGGATTATAAGGATGTACATCATTTTAATTGCTGATTCTCAAAGGCACAAAACTATTCTTATCTCCATTCTGATAATCTTTTGAAAAGTCTATATGTAAAAAACTACTCACCAGAAAGTATATACTATAGATTATCCATTCGGGCATGTAAAATTATGTCAGACTTACAAACAATACTTGAGTTTGTACATTAATTAGATTCATAGTTAGACATACATAAACACACAGCAGTTAGTTAACCAAAGAAACATTACATCAAGTGGCTAGACGGTAAGACATCTGCTCTCACAGGGGAAGAATGAGTAGACCCACATCAAGCACTGCCCTAGAATGCCTACCAACCCTTCCTGTAACCCAGGTACAGTAGTGGCATGTCGGATATTCTCTCATCCTTCAGATTTGGCTGCACTATAACTGTCTCAGACAGGCCCACTCCATCCAGTCTAGAGGAATGTCTTAGCTATAACTGTCTATCACTAAACTGTTGCTGTCCTTTCATCAACCACAATCTGTACTGTACACTTCTGTATTTGTCATCCACTTCCTCCTGAAGGCTAGGAACAATTTATAGTCATGTGCTGACCAATGTAAAATCTGTATCTTACAGTGCATGTCACACAACAGGCAATCAATATCTGCTGAATAAATTTTTATTCTATAGAATTGCAAGCATATAAAAACTACAAAGAACTCTTGTACATTCCTCTCAACCTCAACAACTATCAACTCAATGGCAAATCTTATTTCCTTTACATCCCCTTCCCATCTCTTAAAACATGCATCAATGAAAGCAAATCTAACATTTTAGTACTTGGTAAGTAGTTCATTGAATCTGTGAAAGATTTTTATGAAACAAATCATACTTAAAATATTAATCCATGTATATCAACATATTTAATGTTCAAATTTCACAATCAACATAAATACATATTACTTTGTTCAAATAAAGATTCAAGTGAGACATGTACATTGAATTGGCTTATGTGTTTCAAGTCTCTTAATCTTTAAATAGCTAATTCTTTTTGTTTCTCTACTCTTTTAGGAACTAGGCCATTTATCTTATTGAATTTCTGTGGATTGAACTCGTGAGTAGATAAGCATAACATTAGTATACATTTCTATCTCATGTATTTTCTGAATATCTGAGCAGTCAGTGCTCTTAACTGCAGAGCCATCTCTCCAGCCCCAGTGAACTTATATTTAAGACTACTTTTTTAGACCCACCTTAGGTTAATTTCACAGGGAAATTTAAAGGAAAGCACAGTGATTTCCCACATATAGACCCTTATCCACGCCCCCAACACTTTTTCATACCCTCCTTCTCCATTATTATATCGCCCTTCTGACTGGTTTCTCCATTTGTTATAACTGAAGGACTTAGATTGACCTGTCACTGTCATCCACAGTCCAGTTTAAATCAGAGCTACAGTCTATATGGGTTTAGACAAACTTATAATGACATGTTCACTATGGTAGCATATACAAAGTAATTTCATTGACATACCATGGCTTCTCTGCTCTTTTGTACCCACTCCAAACTAGGTTGGTTGCAAACTCAGAACCCTCCTGCCTCAGCCTCCCAGGTATGTGCCTCCATGGTATGCCACAGGCCCTGCCTTGATCTGTCTTCTGTACATTCAATACTATAAATCTCCTCTAACCGCTACTTTTACTTGCATCTCACACATTTATACTAAGTTGTGTTTTTGTTTTCTTTTAGTTCAAAACATCTTATAATTTCCCCCTTCAGACTTCTTTGATGCACATGCTTATTTAGAAGCATGTTATATAATTACTACAGACTTGAGAGTTATCTTTCTACTTTAACTTTCAACTCTTTTCTACCCTTATATGTTAGGCTAGAGTTGGGCATTTCCCTTCTTCCACGTGAAAGGCTTGAGCTGACTGGAGTCCAGTAATAGGTTATGTTGCGCCCCAATAATATCCCAGCAGGTTGGGCTCTGCTGAATGTAGGCTTTGTTAAGGAGAAAAGACTGCTTCAGAGTTACTTCAAAAACACTTCCCTTCTCCAACCCACCCAGAACCAAGAGGGGATTTTCCCTCTGGTATTTGCTGTAGGATTCGTGACAAGCTCCTGGGGGGAAACATTAGTTACTGTAAGAAACCCTTTATAGCTGGTGTCAGGAGGTTTGAACTCTCAGAGTTGACCATTCAGAGTCTCCAGCAATTGGCTAATGACAGTTCATTTTCCTACCCTAGCATTTGTTCCCATAGCAGTTTCCATTCCCATGGCAGTTCTATTCAGAGTCTCTGCTCTCAAAGTTGGGACTCCCTGTGTTCCCCTGGTTTCTTCAACCATGGGGAGCAGCTGCTTGGCCTATGACCTCCTTTTCAGATACAAGAAGAGTCTGGTTTGTTTTGCTTTTCCATAGGCGTTTGGGGACTGACCCAGGGCCTTGTGCACACTGGCCAAGCGCTCCTGCTCAGCTTTTCATTTGTTAGAACAGAGCTCCCTAAAGGCAAACCTGGAAACCGGAAGACCAACTTCTTTTTTTATAAAATTAATTTATTATTTTTATTTTATGTGTACGAGTGTATTGCCTACATGTATGTGAGTGCACCTGTGTCATGCAATGCCGCAGTGGTCAGAAGAGGGCATCGGATTCCCCTGGAACTGGAGTCAAGGACGGTTCACAGCCACCATGTGGGTGCTGGGAATTGAACCTGGGTCCTCTGTAAGAGCAATCAGTGCTCTTAACCACTGAGCTATCTCTCCAGCCCCCCAACTTCTTTTTCTTAAAATCAGACTTACTGAGTTATAATTCAGATGCAGAACAGTTTGTCCTTTTAGGTATACTTTTCCATCCATTTAGACAAATGCATGCAGTCACACAATCAACACCATGACCAAAGTACTGCATCTCTAACAGCCCAAATTCTGCATAAATCTTTGTAGCCAACCCACTCCTCCCCAACCCCCATCCCCCATCATCATCAGCTCCTGGCAACTACCTTGTCTACAGTTTTGTCTTTTCTAGAATGTTATATAATAGAACAAAAAGCATACAGTCTTTCCACTTTGGCTGATCAGTTTTCTCAGCATGAGTTTGAGATTACTCATGTTATTAAGTGTATCAAACATGTGGCAGATAGTTTAATGGTTGTAGTATTTAATTGTATGGAGGTGCCATAATTTGTTTAGAAATTCATAAACTGGTGGACATTGACACTGTCCTTGGTTTTTGGCAGACAGGAACAAAGCTTTTACAAATAACGTTCAGGATTTTGAATGGATCTACGTCTTCATGTCTTTTGGGCAGATATCTAGAAATATGACTGCTGCCCATATGGTAAGTATAGGTCTACTTTCATAAGAGGCTGCCAAATTATTTCCCATATTGGCTATGTTACTTGGCATTGATAGCAGCAATATATGAATTTCAGTTGCTGAATATGCTTGTCAGTGTTTGGTGTGCTTTAGTTTGTTTTTTTTTTTTTCTTTTTCCATTTTTTTCCCCTGTCAGTCAGTCTAACATACATGGCAGCTTTTCAGTATGGACTTAATTTATATTTTCCTAATAAAAAGATTTTCCCACAGGTACACTTTGGCACATACACCCACATACATATATCATACATACACACACCAAATAATGAAATTAAAAAAAATAATAAAACAAGTACAATTTAAGATACTTTAAAATCCCCAAAATATGCAGGATAACTAAAACACATTAATTAAATTCTGGGTTCTTTGATAAATGAGTTGAACTTATACTTTTTTATGTTTATCTATGAACCCATTTTTTTTCCTCCAGTATAGATGCTACCTGGGGAGTAAGAAGCACTGTTTAAAAATAAGATTCTACTTGGAAGAAGCACAGAGCATGCTCACAAATTCAGGCTCATTTGGTCTGAGCACTGGGCTATGATGGAAGCAGTGCGGCTGACCCTCAAGCGCACTGCTCTTAATCTGAACAACACCAGCACACCAAGGGGCGTAGGAAGTGCCCTTGAGAGACTGACCTAAAAACGATCAAAACCACTGCAGTTCCAAAGGACTCTTTGCATCAATTGCTTGGCAGAAGACAACTAAAATGCAACCTTAAATTTAGCATTCTCCAACAATAACTCACAGTTCTAATAAAGAAGCATCGTAAACCTGAGTTGAGGATTATTTACCTACAACATTCCACATTCCAACCCAAAAGACTAGAAAAGTCTGTAGTCATTACGCTACAAAAAATCTTGACAACAGGGCAGAAAGCAAAGCTTTGTTCTTTTTATATAGCTTCGGGCAACTGCCATGGTTAAGAAGTCTGCAAAATTCTGAACCCAGGATAGAGTTACTTGATTACCTAAGAGCCCTAGGGCATGCTTATAAATTAAGGTCTATAAATCCTTAAATTATAAATAGAAGCAGCAATAACAGTAGTTTAACAATACCAGGAAGTCAGCTCCTAAAAAGCCCAATACTATCTGAGGGCCTGAGGGTTGCCACACTTGGCTTCTGGACAGGCAAGGGTTCTCCAAGGAAAATAATCTACCCCTGATCACGGACACATGCTATTTGGCAGTGTTGGCTAAAGCAATTCAAAATAATCTCTATAGATACAAGAAAAAGAGGCTCTCTGGTGTAACAAAGGCTTGAATTGGATATGATTTATCAGATCAGCAAAAATGTTTGGCGAATTCATTTGTCATTATCTATTGTACCTCAAAAAATCTAAAACTGTGACCAAAACGTATGGGCCACTGAAAGGACCTCTCTTGTTTGCTAGGCCTCAAGATGGTTGGAGAACAGCTAAATGATCCTGTTAAAGTGTGAAGCATAAGGAAAATTAAAATGGGGTTCTGATAAACATGTATATCATGCCTACTGCTTCCTATAGGTACTTGGGCTTTTATAAAAAGCATAGGATTGTTAAAAGATGCAACAACTCTCAAAATTACAGCAGCAAAAAATAAGAACCAGTCTAAGGAAACATTTCAAAGCAGAAAAAAATATTAACCCACATAGAAATCACTTCAGTATAATTATTTTGACTTAAAACAGTTATAACAAGTATTGGAAATTTTTAACTAATTCATTTGGCAAATATTTACTTACTGACTTCTTCCAGTTGTCACAAAGCTTACATTAAATATGATGTAACCATTTCTCTGATCTCTCTCCACTTAGGTCTTTTGACAACCATTTGCTCAAGAGTATGTTAATAATGGCTATAAAAGCCAGGCCTCAAATTCCAGACCGCTACCTTTTTGAAAGACTTGGGCTTTGTTCCATGAAGCTTTCAAGAAACGAGATCTATAATAACAACAATTTGCCTGACTCCTGAAGACACTGTTAGATTCACAGCAATTTAATTTAGATGTCACGGCTTCATTACTTTCCCCATCTACTTTATCTCCACCGCCTACCACTTTAGGCGGCCACAAAAGGATGTGACTGTACTTAGTTGTTTTACCTCTTTATTTCATCAAGATAATAAAGCCAAAGCTACCAGTTCAGTTTCCACGCAGGACTTGCTATTTGTCATCATGTATACTTAGAAGAAGTAAATCGTCAGTGCATCTGCCCTCACCTTCACAGGAGGATCTTACAACGTAAAAGTAGAAAAACCGCATGGATCGGAGATACGAGCTTCACATCAGATCCCACGACATAAAGCACTCATCTTCCTACCCGACCTCAGGACTCATTATCAGCCCAGCAAGTTACCACAGCTCAACTGGAAAACTTCCCAATGAACTAAAAGACTGAATGCCTCTCTCAGTCATATGAAGTTTCAGGCTACTGACATTTGAGAAGTAAATGTTATCGTGCATGTAAGTTTTCATTCCCAGGCTCTATCACCCACAAATATAAGCATTCTATATTGACAACCTACTGGACTTTGTTTCCACTTTCGGCAAAGAGGGTATGACTCAAACTACTGGTCTGTCCCAGCGGGATAAATCCAATGGGAATCTTACTGAAGGTGGCCTGGCAGAACAAAAAGAAGAGAAGGTTTCACAGTTATGGTCAGAAGATTAGGCGTAACAGAGAGGCACATGTGCGTCCTCTATGACAAAGTAACTGGCCTGTGTCTGTCTTCCCATCCCCATCCCCATCCCTAGCCCAGTAAACAAATACTACAAAGTGAGCAGCTTCTTAAAGTCAATAAATGCACAAAGACTTAGAATGTGGAAGACATATTTGGATACTCATTAATGATAATTATTTGGAAGAAACTGGGTTAAGATAATGACAGTCTTATAACCATTGGATCAATGTACAAGGGTGACAGAGACGGTATTATGCTATCACCCTATTTGAAAAGGATGCAGATAATAAAATTCAACTAAAAATGTCTACTATTTCTAGTGACCAATGACAGGTGACAGTGTTTTATAAACTATTTCAGATACAAATGAGGCCAAGAGAATAAGTTGAATAGCTTAAGTTAATGACCTAACAGTTGATTTAATTAAAAGCCACACATACAGTAGATACTGAAGTCTCTTGAAAACTATTTTGAGCACAATCTTATTTTTTTTTACTTAAATTTTTTAAACTATGGCAGAAAAGTGAATGAGACCCTACAAAACCCCATGAGTTCACAATGCAGATTTAACATTTGCCATTTGACTTCTGATATAAGAAATAAACCCTATCTCAAAATAGACAAAGATAGAAATGAAGTCCCTTCTAATTCTTTCTCCACTGTCTCTTCCTAAAGGGAATCATGTTAGGTTGATGTGATTCCTTTCGAACTACACTATTTTTTATTTTTGCCTTACTACATACTTAGACAGCCGCTAAAAATATATAGTATTGTTTCCTGAATTCCAAAACTATGTAGAAATGCTTAAGCTACTTTGAAAACTTACTTTGTAGTTAGCATTTTTGAGCTATAAGACATAAATATTTATAGATCTAGTTCACTCTTGCTTGTCTGTGTACACGTGCAGGTGCATGTGGAGGACAGAGCAACCTCAGGTCTTGTTACTGTTACCTTAGTTACTGTTCACATTCTTTTTGAAACATGGTCTCTTATCTGGCTAGCCAGTCAGCAGCCCTCGGGATCCACCTGCCTGGCCTCTCTAGCACTGGAATTACAAGCAGCAGCACCACAACCAGCTTCTTTTACATGGATTCTGGGATCAAACTCTGGTCCTAATGCTTATATTACTTGAACAAGCTATCACCGCAGCTGAATTGATTCAAATAACTGTTCTCTGGCTCCTATTATATGAACACATCACTATTAATTTATGAAGGAAATTCTTAAAGATTCCATAAGAAATTTACATACATACACACACACACAGACACACACACTTGTTCTGCAGAGTGTGGGTCCTTAGACAGAACTCCTATATTAAACTTCACCCACCCGAAGCTCAGAGACCACTGTGGAAGAGGGGGTGGAAAGATTGTAGGAGCTAGGGGAGGTGGCGCCTGAGTTTTACAGGCTCCAGGGACCTTGCTCATATGAACTTATAGCAATGGTGTCAGTATGCACAAGACCCATGCAAACTCAGGCCAGACAAAAACCCAGCATAGAACTGTGGAAATGGGCAGTAGGCCCCCAACGTTAGTCAAAGAACTACTGGGCAGATGATTGCTGCTGGATGGGAGAGAGCTAATCTTCCTTAAAGGAGTGACTCTAGATAGAGTGACTAGACCCCAGTAGATGAACTTGCACTGAGGGACGTCTGGGGACACTAGGCCTTAACATAAATGACAGAATGCATGAAATCCAGTCAGGGCGGGGGCTATGGGAAGATGCTGATGGAGGATGGGGTATACAGATGATTAAGATGGTGTGCATGGGTGTGTATGAAATACACAAAAATTCAAAAAAAGAAATTTTTATATATTATAAACTATTGCTACAAGCTACTGGGTATCCTCAATTACCAACACAGGAAGTCCACCCAGGACTCATGAGAGTGTCCTATGACAGAGGCATCAATACTGTACTGTCTTTTTAAAAATCCAATCCTATCACAATGGCACTGGATTTAAAATAGAACATAGGAGCTGAACATGGTGGCCCATGCCTGAACTGTAGCTACTCCAGAGACTGAGGCAGGAGGATCACAAGTGCAGGACACACCTGGGCAGCCTATCAGGACTGTGTCTCAAAATAAAAAATAAACGAGGAAAGAGCTGGAGGTATAGCTCAGTGATCAAGCGCTTGCCTAACATGGGTTCAATCCTCATTATCACCAATATATATATCCACACATGGATAAATACAGACATATGTCATGAGGAGAAAAAGATAAAAGAATGATAAAAAGTAAAAGCTTAAATGCGGTATTTCTTACAAGCGTACCTCATCTGTTCTTCGAAGAAGTCCAGTAACAACCTATGAATATAAAAAAAGCATTTTAGACAACCTATGAATATAAAAAAAGCATTTCCTTATAACAAAATTGGATTCAGTTTCCATAAACCTGTATTTTTTCCTAAAAACCTATATTAAATGATGCACTGCACCTGAAAACACATCATGTTCTCAAATATGATCAGAGCCAAAGTGGATTTAATTCTTAACCTAGGGTTAACAATAACAACTAAGATAAATTATAAAAACTCTGTATTATTAAAATCACATTTTAAGTTCTATAAAATAACCTTACTAATGTGTGTGTGTGTGTGTGTGTGTGTACCTCTTTGTATAGTGTTTAATTATTTATTTATTTATTTATTTATTTATTTATTTATTTATTTATTTATTTTGAAGCAGGGTCTTCCTGTAGCCCCAGCAGTCCTGGAACTATGTAGACCAGGCTGGCCTTGAACTCACAGAGATCTGCCTGCCTCTGCCTCCCAAGGACTGGGACTACAGGCATGCGCCCCCACATCCAGCTTATGTTTATATATTTTAAGTTATATAGAAATGTAAGTTCTTTTCAATTATACAAAAAAGCCTATTACTCAATGTGGTCCACAAAGAGGAAAAAGCCACCTTGCTATACTCAGAAATCTATCCTTGGTTTTTTTGTAGCTAAGAGAGACAATCTGCTATTGTTCTAAAATGATGGATAAATCTGTTTTCTCCCCCTATCTAAAAGCCTTTGAGAGGGAACTGACACTGATCCTAACCACTCCAACAGCTATCAAAATACCTGAAAGCAAATCCTGAATCCATCACTCTAGAGTCCAGCCTTGGCAGACAAAAGAAAAATGAGGAGGAACCCAATAGAGGGATGCTTTTGGAAGCCCTTGTCAAGAAATTCCAATGGACTCTCATAGTAACATTTGAAAATTGCCCTGTTCTGACTTTTTTCTAGTTCCCTGTCTAGAACTTGTAATGCTAATTACTCTTGCCTTTACTCCTCCTTCACATCTCCTATTCAAGATTCAAGGACTTTCTTCTTCCCTTAAGAGACAAAAGTTATACAATTTGGGAGTCTTTTGGATAGACCCACTGAAGGGATACTCCCATTGCCTCACCCTGCGTCCCTGTTTGGCATGGAAGAAGCCAGAGCGGTCTGTGTCCCGATTCCCTATTGGCAATTTGGGTAACCTCTTCAGAGGATGGTGTGATAAGAATAGGAGGTAGGAATTGGCTAGGCAGTTAGGGTAAAAAACCCCCAAAGAAAAGTAGCCAGTTTCTTGGCTAAAACTCAGAATGCCTTGGGCCTCTTAGCAACATACTCCATTCCAAAGGCCAAAAATGTCAAAAGTATTTGGGGGCTTTTATCTAATGCTTGAAAGATTTTAGACTTACCTCCTCAGAGGGGGGAATGTTACCAGAGTGGCCAAAAGCCCCATTAAAAAAAATAAAAGAAGAAAAAGTACATGAGGTCATCAGAAAAAAGTGATGGAGAGATATGGGAGGAGTTGGAGGGGAGGGACTGTGCACAGATTTGATCAAAACACCTTATATGCATGTATGAAATTCTCAATAAATTATTCAAAAAAATAAAAAAAAAAACTAAGGAACATGAAGACAAAGGGGCAGAGAATTCCCGTCAAGTTATGAAAAACATAAGAAAAAAATTCCCAGTTTTACCATGCTAGATAGCCAATATTAGCCACTAGTTTATTATATTCAATTGTTTTTTAGACCAGGTCTCACTGTGTAGCCTAACTGGCCTGGAACTCAGCATTCTTCCTGCCTTAGCTTCCTAGTGTTGAGATCACAGGTGTAAGGCACCACACCCAGCCAATCTTGTCTTTAGCCAATGTCTATTTCGATGAGTACAAAGACACCAAATACACAACTCACAGTTTGCCTTTGAAAACATTTTGTAGGGGATGGAGAGGTGGCTCAGCAGTTAAGAGCACCGATTGCTCTTGCAGAGGACCTGAGTTCGATTCCCAGCACCCACATGGAGGCTAACAAGCATCCGTAACTCCAGTTCCAGGGGATCCAACACCTTCTTCTGACCTCTGCAGGCATTGCACGGCACAGGTGCACTTATACACATGCAGGCATACATTCATACACATAAAAATAAAGGAAATATTAAAAACATTTTATAAAAATAAAGATCAACACAAATCTCCCTTCATCTTGTCCTGTCTCACTGAGTTTCAGGATTAAATGGGGCTGTCAAGTGGTCTACTTCTTTCTTTGTAGGCCTGCTTTCAACTCTTCACACTTCATTTAAAAGCCATGAAACAATTACAAGTTCATTAGCACAGCTTTTCTAAAAGGAGCTTACTAAGACTCTTTTAAGTGCCAAGTCAAACACAGGACAGACTTTCTGATGTTAGCTGCTGATGCCCGTACACAGATGAAGCCATCAAAGAGGCGAAAGGCAACAGAAATGAGATGTGGGGGTGAAGTACAGAGTACAGGGTGAAGGCACTGGAGCATGGGGACACAGGGATCCGGTGAGGTTTCTGCCATGTAAGGACCTCACTGGTCTGCTGCAGGGAAAGAAGAGCACCTGAAGGTGACATATTTTCAGTTGGACCAAAGAAAGCACCAAGGACCTGCCTTAATTTTAATAAATAAAATGTATTTTTCTTTAATATTTATTATTTTATGTGTGTGAATGCTTTGCCTACACATATGTTAAGTGCAGCACATGTATGTAGTGCCCAGAGAGGGCAGAAGAGGGCATCAGATCCTTTGGAACTGGAGTTTGGATAGTTGTTAGCTGCTATGTGGGTGCTGGGAACCAAACCCAGGTTCTCTAGAACAGCAGCAAGTACTCTTAACTGCTATTAACTCTTAACTTGCTCTTAACTCTCTCAAGCCCCATTAGAATTTTTTTAATTTTTAAATTTTATTTTATGTGTGTGTGTTTTGCTTGCAAATGTATCATGTGTGTGCAGTGCCTGTGGAGGTCAGAAGAAGGTATTGGATCCCCTGGAACGGAAGTTATATGCTCTTGTCAGCTACCATATGGGTGCTGGGAACTGAACCTGGGTCCTCTGCAAGAGCATCCAGTGCTCTTAACCACTAAGCCATCTCTCCAGCCCCAACATTTATTTTTAAAAAGCAGTTTTAGGTTTATAGCAACATTAAGCAGAAGATGCACTCATTCCTTGTATACCTCCTATCCATTATCATCATCCCCCATCAGAGTGGTGCATGTGTCCAAACTAATGAACCTACATTAACATGTTATTAACATCCAAACACCATCATTTACATTAGGGTTCATTCTCTATTATAGGTTTAAAACAAACAAACACAGAATGACACTTATCCATCATTACCCTGTCTCCCAAAGTAGCTTCCCTGCTCTACCAGGCCCCTGCGTGCTGCCTGTTCACCCCTCTCTTCCCCCAGCTTCTGGCAGCCACTCCTTTTTTACAGTCTCTACTATTTCTTTCCCCAGAAGTCAAATAGCTGAAATGTGGACTATAATCTTCTCATACTGGTTTCTCTCACTTAGTAATAAGCATTTTATGTTTCCTCCAGGTCTTCTTATGGCTTGATAGCTCATTTCCCTTACTGTTGAATAATAATCCATTATCTGAGTCTACCACTCTATCCATTCACCTACTGAAGGGAATCTTAGTTTCTTTTAAGTTTTGTCCATTATAAATAAAGATGCTATAAACATCCATGTGCATATTTTCATATGCCCATCAGTTGTAAACTCTAACTTCTGATGAGCACAGTTCCTGGATCATGCGGTTAAGGGTATGTTCAGTTTTCTGTGAAGTCATCCAACTACGCCAAAGTGGCTATATAATTTTCCAGTTTATCCTGGATTTTGATTACTCTAATAGATCTAAAAGTGACTAAACTATTTTGCACTCCCACACCAATGCGACAGTGGCAGCTGCTCTGCCCTCTCACCAGTGTTGGATAGCAACAGTGTTTGGCCATTCTTGTAAGTGTGGTTACCTCACTAAGGATAAATAATATTAACATTACAAACCAAGACAGGGCTAAGGACATAGCTCAGCGATAGTGCTTGCCCAGCATATGTGAGATATGATCTCCAGTGCTTACTGCCAAGTAACTGACTAAATAGCAACAGAAACAAAGGCAGATGCATACATCTGAACATGTAGCCCTTTGTACAAATGTGGTATTAAGAGTTAACTTTACATATGATAGAAATGGTGTGAGTGGGGTAGATGTGTTTTCTTAAGGAGAACCTTTATGCTTATTTGATAAGAAATTGTCCTCATAATTGAAACTATGATTCTATTACAGAACTAGTTTGTAAGTCTTCAAAACATAAGATGTATCCTACCCACACCCATTTTGTTCAATATTTATGTATTTTCTTCAATATTTGTTTTATTCAATATCTATGCAGTGTCTGAGATATGATCTTGCTGGGCAGCCCAAGATGAGCTGAAACGTGAAATCCTCCCACCTCATCGTCCTAAATGTTGGAATTACACTGCCTTATTTGTTTTACTTAATTCTATCAAACAAACTGAATAACATATAAACCCTTCTTTATGCTGGGAGAAGGGTTTACAAAAAACAAAAACGTGCAAGAGAAAAATTTAAGACCATTCTAGTTTAATAGCAACAGCCCCAAAGTAATGACTTACAGAGCCACGATTTCCTCAATTACTGCTGCCACTGTCCTCGATCTAACTTCCATCTTTCTCACCTTAAAACTGATCCTACCTCCTGCAGTGTCCCATCTCCTCCAGCAACAATGATCACATCTGTGCTCTCCATCAGCTCCAGAAGTTTCTTGGCTTGCCCCTCATAATCGGTCTGAAATAGAAAGGAAACCTTTGGTAAATCTGTCATTGTAGGCCCACAAGGTCAAAGACTGAAAGGATATTTTCTTTAAAGTTTTACACTGATTCTCCCAAGTTTACCTAATTGACAGAAGGAAAAAAAAAAATCAAGTGCCTATCAAAACAATTCCATATGGTTTTTATGGTTTTATAGTTTTAGAGCCAGAAGGGACTTCAGAAAACATCTAGTCAGCTCCTTATTTTAAAAATAAAATTCAAGCCCAGTAATTTCTCTTAGTTCTACAGGTAGGTAGTCAAAGGACTCCTTTCCAGTTGGGTGCAGATTCCATTACATTGTTTACCCATTGCTCTTCATCTGAAGGCAGAAGTCAAGTGCATATGCAAATAGGGAGGCAGACATAATGAGAAGAGCATAGATTTCAGAGCCCGAGAGACCTGGATTAAATCCCTGCTGTTACTTAGCTGAGTGGCCATAAACTCTCTAGATCTTAATTTCCTTATCAATGAATTTCTAGGTGTCAGGGGAGGGGGATTCATAGCTTCCTTGTACTTCTGTTACACAGCAGAATGTAAAGCAACTAGAAAAGTAAATGTCTAACTGGTGCTGTGCTAAGTAACTGGCGGTTATTGTTTTGCTGCGACAGTGCATAAAAAAATGCGGGTGTGTTTCAAAGTGGTCACAGAAGAGCACTCAAGCCTTGCCACTTTTACTGAGACTATTTTATCTCAGATACACGCACACTTAACACATTTCAGCCACTGTGATTTGAGGACCCCCGAAGACAAACAGTAAAATTGAAAGGGTATAAAGCACCTGAAACAGGAAATACTATCTCCAATGAAAATACACTAGACCCACTAGTAGGCAAAAATTGAGTATTTAGATTTTGGATAGGCTGAAACACCTGCACTGTAGTTTAAAACATTTGCTCTTTGTCTCCTGTTCCTGATGCAGAGCTCTGAAATTCATGAAGGTTACTGAGCAAGGGAGAGCTCTGATTGCTCACAGAAAGCCTCTCTCAACCATACCAGAGTATGCTAAAGAGGTCACTTTTGGAGGGCCATCAGATAGCTTCAAGATGGGGGCTGGTCACTAGAAAGGCCAACAAAGCGAGTTAAGGATTGAAACTTTTAGCTCCCCCCACTGACCTCCAGGAAAGGGAGAGGAGCTTGAGATTGACTTTTATTCATCTTTGACCAATGAGTCAATCAATCAGGTCTACTTAATAATAAGCTTTCCACAGAAACTCCTTATCAAGCATTTAGGAGCATCTAGGTTGATGAACTCATTCAGGTGGTTCACCACAGAGTGCATGGAAGCTTGGTACCAAACTCTGTTCTTGTATCTTGCAATGCACACCTTTCCCTTGGCTATTGCCAAGTTATATCCTTTTAAACAGCCACTAAACATAAGGTGTTTTCCTCAGTTTGAATCATTCTAGCTAATTACTCAATCTGAGGAAGGATTTGTGGGCCTCTCCCTTTATAGCTGGTTGCTCAGAAGTACAGGTGAGCTATTTCCAAACCTTCCCACTGCTACTTGAAGGGAGTCACTTCAGAAGAATGAAACCCTAACTTATGAAGTCTGTACTAACCAGAAGCTAGTAACAGAACTTAAATGAATTGCTAGGTATCCTGTTGGTATAAGGAAACACCCCAGGGCCAGCAAGATGATTCAGAAGTTTAAGGCACTTATTGCCAACTGTTAAGAGCTGAGTTTGATCCCCAGGACCCACATGGCAGAAAGAGAGACCACCACCCACAAGCTGTCCTCCAATCTCCACACACGCACACACACACATGCACACAGACATTCAATAAATAAATAAAATGTAATAAATATACACCCCAGTACCAAACCATTAAGTTCTAATATGGTATTCATTAACAGCCCAGAGGAAAAAGTGTCTAAAAATACCATCATTTAATTTTTTTTAATTTTTACATTTTATTTATTTTTAAAATTTATTTAATAACCGCATAATTAGAAGCATTTCATTACAACAGCATTGACATAAACATACTTTATTATTTTATGTGTATGAGCATATTGCCTGCATGTGTATTAAGTGCACCAGTGCCACACAATGCCCACAGAGGTCAGAAGAGGGTGCCAGATCTCCTGGAACTGGAGTTACAAACAGTTGTTACCTGCCATGTGGGTGCTGGGATTTGAACGTGGGTCCTCTACTCAAGCAGCCTGTGCTCTTAACTGCTGTGCTCTCCAGCTCCCATCATTTAATTTTAAATGGTCTACTTTTATTCTTAAGAAGCAAATGAGGGGTTGGAGAGATGGCTCAGCAGTTAAGAACACTGGCTGTTCTTGCAGAAGACCCGGGATTGAATCCCAGCACCCCACATGGCAGCTAACAACTGTCCATAACTTCAGTCCCAGGGGATCCGACAGTGTCTTCTGACCTCCACAGGCACGACATAGGTGCACTTACGTAACATGCAGGCAATACACGCATACACATAAAATAAAAATAATTTTTTTTTAAAAGTTGGAAAAAAAAAAAAGCAAATGATTGGCTTTACAGTCATGCATTTGCCCATACTGGGTTTTTAAAAAATAAAAAAGATGAGTGAGACTAGGGAGAAAGTCAGTGAGCAGGAGTGCTATGCTGGCTTGAATCTGCAGTGCCCACACAAGAAGCAAGACTTGTCCACACACACCTGAAACCCCAGCATTTGAGACAGATGAGCAGACCCCATAGACTCACTGGTCAGCCAACCAAGTCACAGCCATGAGCTTCTGGTTCAGCAGGAGACTGGGTCTCAAGGTTGTAATAGAGAAAGACATCCAACATTACCCTGTGGCCTCCACATGTGCTCACACTTGTGTATCTACTACACACACATAAAAATATCTTTTTAATGAAGATTAGCATTATTAATGTGTGAGTACACAGAAAGTGATGTTTAGGAATCAGCATGGGTTCACGAAAATCCTCTCTGGAAAATTACTAGTGAGATGATCTTTGAACTTGAAGCTTTTTTTTTTTTTTTTGACATAGAGTCTCACTGTGTAACCTTGGCTGGCCTATGTAGACCAGGTTTGTCTGGAACTCAGAGATCTGCCTACCTTTGCTGAGATTAAAGGCATGCATCCCAGATGTTTGATTCTTTAGGAAAGATCAGTAGATCTCAGAAGTCAGACACTGTATGTGGTCTTCAGCAATGCTCTGGCAAATAGCATGGGCACATTTAAGAGGATTACCTACCAAGTGGATGTCTATGATAATTGAATGGTGTCAAATTGTTGGCAGATTCCTAAGTACCTTTCCCTACACAACACTTTCAACAGTAGGGCTGAAAGGTAACTTACACAAACGTGAATGTAAAGAGCAGACACTTATTTCTCCAACCTCCCATCTCGGTCTCCCTTGAGTGCTGCACTCCCACTACCCCAGCCTCCTTGCTCTTCCTCACACACGCCACCAACACTCCTGCCTCAGTCTGCACGCACACGTCTTCACTGCATTCTCTTTCCTTGGAACCAATGCATGACACACTCAAAGGTCATCTAGTCAGACCAATCTTTCTTTACTGTCCGAACTGAAATGTTCTCACTCATCTCCTAACCCCGCTTTAGTTTTCCTCTTAGCACTGGTTCTCACGTAACAAATCATGTGTTTCTCTATTTGTTTCTTATTTGCATCATTTCCTTTCAAGCTTTGAAAAGAAACTCTCTAAAGAGGCAGGATCCATATGGCAGCTAACAACTGTAACTACAGTTCCAAGGGATCGGATGCCCTCTTCTGACCTCCAAGGGTACTACCCAACATGGGTGCACCCACCTACATGTAGGCATTACACTTAGACACATAAAAAATAAAATATTTTAAAAAGTAAGAGGTCCAAACATCTTTCATTAATCCAAGATTATTATGCACAAGAAAGATTAGGTTTATTTCACATGAACTCATGGAACAGAACTATAACCTAGATCACTGATTCTCAGCACAACATTTTAAACATTTGGAGGGCTGGCTCAGTGGTTAAGAGAGCTTGCTGTTCTTTCAGAGGACCCAAGTTTGGTTCCAAGAGTGGCTCACAATCACTTGTAACTCCAATTCCAGGGTATCTGGCACCCTCTTCTGGCCTCCATAAGCATACACACACAGCATATATACATAAATACATGCATATATGCATACCCATTGTGCTGGATAGCTTTAGTGTCAACTTGACACACCTGGGTTGAGGGAGCCTCAACTGGGGAATTACCTTCATTGGATTGGCCTGTGGCCATGTCCATGGGGCACCTTTTTGATTGTTGAGTAATGTGGGAGTGCCCAGCCCACTGTGGGTGGTGCCATCCCTGGGCAGGTGGGCCTGTGTTGCATAAGAAAGCAGGCTGAGCAGGGCCAGGGAGCAAGCCAGTAAGCAGTGTTCCTCCATGGCCTATGCTCCAGCTCCTGCTTCCAGGTTCCTGCCCTGAGTTCCTACCTTGGGGTCCCTGATGAACTGTAACCCGGGAGATGTAAGATAAATCCTTTCCTCCCCAAGTTGGTAGTGGTCAGAGTGTTTTGTCATAGCAATGGAGAGACAAACTAGGACACCCATCTACACACAAATAAAAATAAATCTTTTTTTAAACAGGACAATAAGGAATTGGTTTGGGTCAGAATGAATTCTTAATACTGAGAATGGAGTTTAGCTCATAGTAGGTATTCAATATTTCAAAAAATTAACATATGGATAGGCACATGAATAAAAGCCAAAATTTTTTAAAAAGGAAAAATGTGTCTAATGCACATATACACACTCTAGATACTGAGCCTACATCTTTCATAAAAACTAACTCAAATTAGATTACAGACCTAAAAGAAAAATGCAATTTTTATAAAAGTTCTAGAAGACAGAAAAAAATACTATGGGATTTTGGTTTTGGTCATGAGTTTTTAGATACATCACTAAAATCAAGAGCTATAACAGAAAAAATAAATTAATTAAACTTCATTAACATTAAAAACTTGTGTTTGCATAAACAGTATTAGGAAAATAGAAAAACAGGGCACAGAGAAAATACTGGTTAAAATAGACTCTTACAGAGCACTTGCATTTTTAAGAATACAAAGAACTCTTTAAAAAAATCAATAAGAAAATAATGTAACTGAAAAGGCAGTGATGTAAACTCATACTTCGACACAGATCTGAAGATGGACAATCAGATGGAAATCTGTCAGCAGTATCTGCCATTAGGAGCTGGGAACCAATCCTGGGTCTTCTACAAAAGCTGAGTCATCTCTCCAGCCCCCAATGGGCCAGTGTTATGCAGGAGTCCCATCAAGTCTTCAAGGAACAAATAATACTAGTCTTACAGTAGCGTCATTCTAAGGTTCTCATACCTAGAATCTGGCACATTGCAGGTATTCCCATAAATACCTGCTTTCCCTTTCTCCCATCTCTGGAGGTAAACAGTGTAAGACCAAGTCTCAGACAAATTAGAAAAGAGTTTAAAATTGCAGATCAAATACATGACCTGCTAACCTTTATGACTATTGAAAATGCAATTTAGAAACAGATTAACATCGAGTCAGTTCACAGTCTAGCTTGGAGGGAAGGGCTCAAGAGCTCCAGCCCCTAACTGAGGAGCTATTGACAGCTGATGACCTCTCAGAAAGGGAGAGTCAGTTTTCTTTAAGGTGTGGCCCCTGGTAAGTCTACCATGCCCCGGTGGACCATTCCACAGCCTTGAGGATATGAGTAACACAAACTGGACTTGTGGATTATTTAAAAAAAAAAAAAAAGAAAGAGGACATGAAGCTGGGAGGGGATGGGAACATGTAGGGTAGATCTAGGAGGATTTACCCAAGGCGTGGGGGTGAATATAATCAGTATATATTGTAAATTTCTTGGAGAATAAAAATAGTCTAAAAAATAATTTAAAAATGAATAAAGTTGGGCATGGAGGCACACACCTTTAATCCCAGCACTTGGGAGGCAGAGGCAGGCAGACCTCTGTGAGATCAAGGCCAGCCTGGTCCACATAGTGAATTCCAGGTCACCTGGGGCTACAGGGAGACCTTGTCTCAAAAAATAAGATGGATGGATGGATGGGAGGGAGGGAGGGAGGGAAGGGATTAACCATAGGCTTATAATACCAGAAGAATGACTTTCACTAAACACGCACCCCATATACATATCCACATATATGCCATTTAAAATTCACTGAAGTAGATACTTGAGGCATCTTCTAAAACAGCAAAATTCCTTCTAACTTATTTTGTCCTTTTACTCCTTACCTATAACTCACAAATTCTAATGACTTACTTTTTAAAATTCCTCATCCCAGATAATTCCTTACCAGGAAGAAAAATGTTTACCTGCTTGTGGAACTACCGAGAAATTAAATTACTCAAATTAGAGGCTTTTGTATTTTCAGGAACAAATTCTAACAACCACAACTTCCATCTTCTAAGAGACAATTCACTCATCTTACGTAAGAGCAACTGAGTTCTGCTGAGAAGAGCAGGATGTGAGACGGAGCAGTAGCTTGGGAAATGAAGACTTATTCTCACCTTAACCACAGTCACGTCCATGCCAGATAAATGTAAAATTGGGGCAGCATTTTTTTCAAACAGAGTTCTGGCTTTGCTGTAGACAAAGGAAAAAAGTACAATTATTTTAAGGCACATTCTCAAGAGGGAGAATAAAAAGTCTAGCCATGTTCTCTAGAGAACACAAATTTTCTTGTTTGAGTATAAGAAGTTAACAGAGAATTATCACAGACAGAAAAGTAGTTTGCCCCTTGTCTAATAAAGTCAGCTCTGATCCACCTCGGATGCTGCATTCATGTTTCTCTAGACAGACTAACGGCAGAGAAAGCGCCACTCAAAAACAACAGTGCTTGATTCACAACATATTTATTGAGCACCCACCTACCAAAGGACAGACACAGGCAGAGGCACGGGCACAAGTGAAAACAGAAAACAGCAGCACTTGTCTAGAAAACTAAAAGCTCAGGGTACATTTGTATACTCTACTGGAATTTATATTCTAGTGGAAGGAGGGGAAAATACTTACTATAACATTAGTCATATGGCCAGAGGGAACAAAACAGAATTACTTAATTCTTATTCAGCAACACAACCTTTTGGAAAGATATACATCACTTTTAACAGTTTACATACTAGAGGGCATCTCCAAATCTTTAAACCTGTGGTAAAACGTCCAGGGACAGATCAAGTCTGTTCAACAACAGTTGATTTTTTGCTGGGAAAGGAAAAGCATCCACTGCTCTTAACTGCTGAGCCATCTCTCCAACCTGCAATGGCCCAGACAGTTTTATCCAGGAGTCCCATCAAGTATTCAAGAACAAATAACACTAGACTTACAGTATCATTCTAAGGCTCTAATACGTAGAATCTGGCACATTGCAGGTATCCCCATAAATGTTTGCTTTCCCTTTCTCCCATCTCTGGAGGCAAACACTGTAAGGCCAAGTCTCAAACAAGTTAGAAAAGAGATCAAAATTGAAGATCATATACATGACCTGCTAACCTCTATGACTGTGGTTTTCTTAAAACCAACAGTGCATCTTTTACCTTTCTTAAGGGTGTGTATATAAGAAATACAAAGGTAGTTAATGAGGAGTATGCACCATTATGCACAAACTCACTAAAAAAGACAGAATCACTAAATGGCATTCAGAACACAAAGCATTTCTTATGATCTAAAATAGAGATTAAGATTGTACAAATGTTCTTGAGAACCATCCTACCTGAGCACAGAACAAGCCAATCAAGCATCTCTACCTTCTCTAGGGCTTGACTGCAGAATAAACATGAATAGCTACATAGTAACTCCTCCCTCTCACCTCACCTCACCTCTGAGCCTAACCCAGAAGTAAAGGGTGAAGAGAGGGACGCTGCAAGCGCCTGTCCTCCCAGCAACGCCTTCCCTGCTGGGCTAACAAGACCAGAGCAGCTCCATGTCTCCATGTCAGTCGCAACAAATCTGCAACCTTTTGTGAGTTTAAGAAAAACGACTGAAACACTGGTGTTTATTCACATCTTTCTATGACACCATGGGTTCAGAAAATCTCTGAAATAAAGGAGAACGCTTTTCTTCAGATTGAAAAACAAGTGTTGCCAGTAAGAAATACATTATGTATTACATAATTAAGGGAGCAACAGCACAATGGCTGAATAAAAACCATGTACTTACAGCAACTTCCAGACTCAGGCACACACACAAAATAATTACTCTTTAATGTATTATTTATTAATACTAAACACATAGTTATCTTAGTTCTTAAAGCTCTTTTGAAGTTTGAAACCAGTACTACATAATGAAATAGCTATACAATAAATTATAAATTATGTGTCAGTGCACAGCCTCGATGACAAAAAAGTGCAATTAAATAGTGAAAGTTTTAAAAACAATGAGGTGCTGCAAAGTTTCAGAGTGACTATGTCCTAGCCATGTGTGGGATTCACCTTGATAAGGACACCAATGCTTTCAGGAGAAAGACCAAGTCAGGGGCAGTACTTTAGCCTGCCTTTAAATAAACTATCAGACTGCAAACAAGAAGTTGCCTTTAAAATGTTAATGGCACTGGGGAGCTGTTTCAGTGGTAAAAGCTTGATGTGCATGCTCAGGAGTAAGGACCAGGAGACTGGATTCCCAGAACCTACATAAATGCCTGGGGAATGTGGCGACCCACATGGTAATTCCAGCCTCAGCAGGAACAGAGAGGGGATCTGCAGAGCAAGCTGGCTAGGGAGACTGGCCATACTGGCCACCCCTGGGTTTGACTAAGTGACCCAGTCTCAGTGAGTAAAATGGAAGAGTGATGGAAGATGATTCCTGACATCAACCTTGGGCCTCCACAGGTATGCACAAGCACATGCACCCCCCTCTTCCCACAAACATGTGTCCACACATATGCAAACATGCACACACACACACACACACACACACACACACACACACACAAATGGAAAAAGGAAGAGCATTTAAAAATTTGGGGCTGGAGAGATGACTCAGCAATTAAGAACACTGACTGTTCTTGTAGAAGACCCGGGTTTGAATCCCAGCACCCACATGGCAGCTAACAACTGTCTGTAACTCCAGTTCCAGAGAATCCAACAGTCTCTTCTGTCCTCTGCGGGCATTGCACGACACGGGTGCACTTACCTAAATGCAGGCAATACACACAAACACATAAAAATAAAATGTTTTTTTTAAAAAATTAAAAATATAAATGCAGTTATACTCTAAAATTCAAGATGAACTTTAAACTTCACTAAAAAATTAAGTTTGTTCATTAAAAACTTTGTGGGCTAGGGAAGTCCAGTAGTGGTAGAATTTGTGCTTAAGATACATAACACCCTAGATTTGACTTTCAGCGCACACACACACACACACACACACACACACACACACACACACCAACAAATCAACCAAATATACAAAAAAGGAAAAAACCCTACAACTAAATAATCTTAGAAGAACTTAAAATAACAGTTCTATCTTAAAGAAACTGCCAAAAATTCTCTACTAGAAAAAACAAGTTAGTAACATAATATTTCTAAAGGAAGAGCACAGCAGTTATATGAAAGTAGGTTGAAAGGGGACCTACAAGAGTTCTTGGGAAAGATGAGCAGGCACGGTGGAGAATCTTCTGAACTGAGCTACACTAACAGGAGCAGCAGCAAGCCCATTTCTGAGACAACCCACAACACTTCATAGGCACTTAATACTAAAGATACCTGTTCTATGTGGTAATTTTTTGGAAAGTTCATGTTTTGGTTTGCCTTTAATTTTATAGCTAAGTAACTGAGGACTTCAGAAGCTAAGTAACTCAGAATATTCTAGAGCTAGAAGCAGCAGAACACAGGGATCAGGTCCCCGGACAACAAAATGTACAGAGTCCTGTTGCCTTCTCCAAAAGCCACAGTGGCTGATGTACTGGGTATTTTGGTTGTGTTGTATAAAACTTGCCAGTACTCTTTAACTGGTATTAAACGTTGGTGCGTCCATAGGGGAAGGGAAGTGGCCCTAACCAAGTCTAGGAAGTATAATTCTATTAGACAAGGTAACAAGATGATTTGCATAATCTGTAAGTAAAACTTACATAATGGGTATGACCTGACTTGTGCCATGCAGACATACTCAATGCTTCCCAAAATATACGAGAGAAACTGACTGTAGGGCCCTGTTTCTTTCTGCTTCAGTCAATAGTAACCTGACACTTAAAAATGTGGCCCCAACTGCTCATTATTGTAATTATTACCTTGATGTCATTTGACATCAATCTTTTAGAATACAATCTAATTAATACATATTCATAAATTATCCAGTCTTCAGAAAAGCACAAACAATTGATCCAGACATCGAGAACAATAACAGGCAATACATTTTTACCCCTTCAATCCTTCATTCTACTTTTTCAAAAGTAAATTTTAAATTGTTTCTTTCAGAACATTAAGGTCTTTGTATTTACATTCCCAACTATATGAGAATATTGTAAAACTCCTTTTGTGTTTTTCTGCTTATGGTATTTCTTTTCACTTATGGTAATTTTGAATTCCCCTACACCTCCCTCTCGCCTCCAAAGTACTGCTCCATGCAATACAAAACTGGCATGATCAACTAAGCAACATATGTGCATTATTTCTTAAAAAAAAGGCCCAACTGTTCACATTTTAATCTCACCGTCTCCTCACAAGGCAGTTCTGGAGGAACTTGTCACCCTCATCCTGAGGTCGCTGCCCCACAGGCTATACCTCATGAGGGAATAGTGAGTACTCCAAGACCCAACTCAAGCTTTTCTCTATCAAAAACACATTTAGCCCTCCTGAGCCCACAGTGCTCATCTCTGAGTGTTCATCTCTGAACATCTTGTCTACAAGGATGGCCTAATGATTTATGCAAAGTTGCAGAATAATCATTCCTAAAGGGATTCCAAGCAGATAGGAATTCTCAGTGTGTGTGTATAGCATCAATTAACTTTATAGTTATTTCACATTAACTTTTACTCCTACATTGTGAATGACTCATTGCTACAGAGTATTGGACCCAGTTAGTCCAGTCCTACAGTCCAGCTGCCTGCCTAATATTCTGCGGGGCTGTTTTCGGTTGTCTTTTGCCTTTAGGAAAGTTGAACTCAGTATGACAAACTGACCTACCCTTGGCCAGCTGCAGGATTAAGGAAGACGGTGGCTTTCCTCACTTGGGCATTGGGAGGAATGAGCTGGTTGCCAAACACCTGAAAAGGAAAAAAAAGTTTTCAATAAAATGTCCTTTACTCAGCTTATGATCGTACATGTTTTCATCCAAAAGAACTGACTTCTAGCAGATAATTTATATTCTCTGGAGATGGGGGGGACGACAGACAAATTTTTGTTCATGACCTCTTCAACAAAACTACCATAAACAACAATAACAGAAGTATACCATTATTTAATGAAAATAAACAATTTTTCATGGGAATAAAAACCTTACTTCATTTACTAGAGGCAAGTATCTTTTCCTCTACAAAATAGGAGTGAGTTTATTATAAACATGTAACTTTCAGGGTTATAAGCTATTAGCAGGGACATTTAACCCATTTGTTCTTAGTTTTCAGAGTATAATCAGTTTCTTCTTCAGCTTATTGCTAGAATTCCAGAGAAATCAGTTACCAGTGAATATTTATATCTGTAAATGAAGAATGAAGCATCATATTCAAACTTCTAGTCTCTCAGCTTTAAGGGGAAGTGGAATCAAAATGCAGAAGATTAGATGCAAGGATTCAAAATGGGACATAGGGGAGAGTCATACTAGTTTTCCACTAAAGAGTTATGTATAAACTGACTACTAATGATTTACTGTTATTCCCATAGATTAATTCATCTCTCAACTCTCACCAGAGGGGTTTCTTTATGCAGCAGATGGTGATTAACACAGAATCCTACAATTGGCCAATGTGCAGAGAACAAGATGCTATAGAGTACTTATCCCTAACTAGAACACTGGTATCAAACTTCTGCTCCCCAAGGCTCAGGGAGCATTGCAGAAAAGAGAGTGGAAGAACTGTAAGAGCCAGAGGTAGTGGATGACCACAAGGAAACAGTCTTCCATACAGCTGGTCATTTACTCATATGAATTCACAGCAATGGTGACAGTCTGTACAAGTCCCATGCAAGCCCAAACCAGACAAAATTCCAGCATAGACATGGGAAATTGAGTAAGAAATCTCAACCCAACCTAAGGAATTTTTGGCAACCAATGGCTGCTGGTAGGGAGAGAGAGTTTTTCAAGCATAGGACTCTTGGTAGGTTAACCTGGTACTGGACCCACACTGAAGGATATGCAAAGAGACAAATTAGACTCTGTAGCCTTATTTCATATATATAATGTATGTATTAAAACATATTAAATTGGATGGGGGGGCAATAAGGATAGGGGAGGAGATCTAAATACCATCAAATTACAAAACATGGAAACTGCACCAATTCAGTTAAAAATGAGAGTGGAAGAGGAGCTACTGCTGTGACACTGAGAGGGCAGTCAACAAAAGAACAGTGACAGGAAAACACTAAAAAGGCAAAAATTCAGGTGGGTGTGGTGGCGCACGCCTTTAATCTCAGCACTCAGGAGGCAGAGGCAGGTGGACCTCTGTGAGTTCAAGGCCAGCCTGGTCTACATAGTGAGTTCCAGGACAGCTGGGGCTACAGGGAGACCCTGTCTTTAAAAAACTAAATTCCTAGGGCTGGAGAGATGGCTCAGCGGTTAAGAGCACTGACTGCTCTTGCAGAGGACCCGGGTTCAATTCCCAGCACCCACATGGCGGCTACAAACCGTCCTTAACTCCAGTTCCAGGGGAATCCGACACCCTCTTCTGACCTCTGTGGCACTGCACGACACAGGTGCACTCACATACATGCAGGCAATACACTCATACACATAAAATAAAAATAAAATAAATTTTAAAAAATAAATTCCTTTTACTACTACTTTTAGCTCTAAAAACAAGTTCTTGGGAGATGGCTCAATGGGTACAAAGGGTACACAGTGCTTACTTAACAAGCACCAGGAAATGAGCTGAGCCTAGCACCTACATAAAAAGTCAGGTAGGGCAGTATATGTCACGACCCCAGTACTAGGGAACAGAGAGTCAAGCAGATCCTGGGGGCTCTCTGGACAGCCAGACTAGCCGGAATAGCAAGCTCCAGGCTTAGTGAAAGACCCTGTCTTAAAAAATAAAGTGGAAAAGCTATCGAGGAAAACATTCTGATGTCAACCTCCAGCTCCATATGCACATGCATGGGCAATACACACACACAAATGCACACACATACATAACACACACACACTCCTTTTTCTGAATACCTCAGAGACATGCTTTCTTTATAAAAAGGTACCTGGTCCATTATCATTTCTCTTGTTTTTATTCTTACTCAGATCCTGACATTTTGCTACCAAATCTCCAAATACTATAATTTGTTATGTTCTTATGCATACCATTCCAGAAAGTGGTCAGAAATAAAATTAACCCAGTTCTCTGGCTTACCAGAACCCAAACCTAGTGTGCTGGATATTCCTGTGTCCTCATTTCACAGTCCATAAAATTTCTAACTATGCTTGTAATTCATTCTCAAATTCATAATAGTTTAAGGAGTTGGCAAAACAGAATTTAGTTTACATGAGTTTTTTTAATCATTCAAAAATTTAGACTGTAAGAACACACAGAAGAAATTAGAGAGGAGAAATCCACTTTTAGTCCTATGGAAACAGCTAAACATTTGAAGGGGAGTGAAGAATTAGAGTCAGAAGAGGTCAGGAAGTGAGAGGAAGTAACTAAAAGAACCTCACTCCTAGAGAAGAGGGGATGGAACACAGAACAGAGGCAGGGGATAACCACTAAAAAGAGGAGGTACACAGAAAAGATGGAACACAGAACACAGGATGAAGACAGAACACGGGGCGAAGAAGACAGAACACAGGGCAAAGAAGACGGAACACGGGGTGAAAAAGACGGAACACGGGGCAAAGAAGATGGAACACGCGGTGAAGAAGATGGAACACGGGGTGAAGAAGACAGAACACGGGGCGAAGAAGACAGAACACAGGGCAAAGAAGACGGAACACGGGGCAAAGAAGACAGAAGGGGGTGAAGACAGAACACGGGGCAAAGAAGACGGAACACGCGGTGAAGAAGATGGAACACGGGGTGAAGAAGACGGAACACGGGGTGAAGAAGACAGAACACGGGGTGAAGAAGACGGAAGGGGGTGAAGAAGACGGAAGGGGGCGAAGACGGAACACGGGGCAAAGAAGACAGAAGGGGGTGAAGACAGAACACGCGGTGAAGAAGATGGAACACGCGGTGAAGAAGATGGAACACGCGGTGAAGAAGACGGAACACGGGGCGAAGAAGACGGAACATGGGGCGAAGAAGACGGAAGGGGGTGAAGACGGCACACGGGGCGAAGAAGACGGAGGGGGGAGAAGACGGAGAACGGGGTGGAGAAGACGGAAGGGGGTGAAGACGGCACACGGGGCGAAGAAGACGGAGGGGGGAGAAGACGGAGAACGGGGTGGAGAAGACGGAAGGGGGTGAAGACGGCACACGGGGCGAAGAAGACGGAGGGGGGAGAAGACGGAGAACGGGGTGGAGAAGACGGAAGGGGGTGAAGACGGCACACGGGGCGAAGAAGACGGAGGGGGGAGAAGACGGAGAACGGGGTGGAGAAGACGGAAGGGGGTGAAGACGGCACACGGGGCGAAGAAGACGGAGGGGGGAGAAGACGGAGAACGGGGTGGAGAAGACGGAAGGGGGTGAAGACGGCACACGGGGCGAAGAAGACGGAGGGGGGAGAAGACGGAGAACGGGGTGGAGAAGACGGAAGGGGGTGAAGACGGCACACGGGGCGAAGAAGACGGAGGGGGGAGAAGACGGAGAACGGGGTGGAGAAGACGGAAGGGGGTGAAGACGGCACACGGGGCGAAGAAGACGGAGGGGGGAGAAGACGGAGAACGGGGTGGAGAAGACGGAAGGGGGTGAAGACGGCACACGGGGCGAAGAAGACGGAGGGGGGAGAAGACGGAGAACGGGGTGGAGAAGACGGAAGGGGGTGAAGACGGCACACGGGGCGAAGAAGACGGAGGGGGGAGAAGACGGAGAACGGGGTGGAGAAGACGGAAGGGGGTGAAGACGGCACACGGGGCGAAGAAGACGGAGGGGGGAGAAGACGGAGAACGGGGTGGAGAAGACGGAAGGGGGTGAAGACGGCACACGGGGCGAAGAAGACGGAGGGGGGAGAAGACGGAGAACGGGGTGGAGAAGACGGAAGGGGGTGAAGACGGCACACGGGGCGAAGAAGACGGAGGGGGGAGAAGACGGAGAACGGGGTGGAGAAGACGGAAGGGGGTGAAGACGGCACACGGGGCGAAGAAGACGGAGGGGGGAGAAGACGGAGAACGGGGTGGAGAAGACGGAAGGGGGTGAAGACGGCACACGGGGCGAAGAAGACGGAGGGGGGAGAAGACGGAGAACGGGGTGGAGAAGACGGAAGGGGGTGAAGACGGCACACGGGGCGAAGAAGACGGAGGGGGGAGAAGACGGAGAACGGGGTGGAGAAGACGGAAGGGGGTGAAGACGGCACACGGGGCGAAGAAGACGGAGGGGGGAGAAGACGGAGAACGGGGTGGAGAAGACGGAAGGGGGTGAAGACGGCACACGGGGCGAAGAAGACGGAGGGGGGAGAAGACGGAGAACGGGGTGGAGAAGACGGAAGGGGGTGAAGACGGCACACGGGGCGAAGAAGACGGAGGGGGGAGAAGACGGAGAACGGGGTGGAGAAGACGGAAGGGGGTGAAGACGGCACACGGGGCGAAGAAGACGGAGGGGGGAGAAGACGGAGAACGGGGTGGAGAAGACGGAAGGGGGTGAAGACGGCACACGGGGCGAAGAAGACGGAGGGGGGAGAAGACGGAGAACGGGGTGGAGAAGACGGAAGGGGGTGAAGACGGCACACGGGGCGAAGAAGACGGAACACGGGGCGAAGAAGACGGAACACGGGGCGAACAAGATGAAGACGGAAGGGGGTGAAGAAGACGCGGGGCGAACAAGACGGAACACGGGGCGAAGAAGACGGAAGGGGGTGAAGACGGAACACGGGGTGAAGAAGACGGAACACGGGGTGAAGAAGACGGAACATGGGGCGAAGAAGACGGAACACGGGGCGAAGAAGACGGAACAGAGGGTGAACATGGAACACGGGACGGAAACAGAACACGGGATGGTGATGGAACAGGGGAAGAACACAGAACTCGGGATGAACACGGAACAGGGATGAAGATGGAACACGGGATGAACATGGAACACAGCATGAACACGGAATACAGCATGAACACAGAACAGAGGCAGGGTCTGAAAAACAGAACAGAGGCATTCACCTTCTAAAGAAGAGGATGAGGATGTTTGGGGCAGGACTGCCTGGCATTTAGTATTAAAGTTTATTTGATAGTTACCTTGATTTGATCATTATACACTGCATACCTATATCATAGTATCATATTGAGACCCAGAAGTAGGTTTAAATACTGTCAATTAAAAAATAATCCAAATTTTTTTTCATTGGGACAGGTCCTCACAATGTAGCCCAGGCTGGTCTGGAACTCAGTTTGTAATCTTGGCTGGAGTCAAGCTCTGGGCAATCCTCCTGCTTCATCCTCCTGAAAGCTGGGGTCATAGGCATGTCTAGTTCTAAAAAATGCTTAAGGTTATTTGAATTGATTTTTTAAAAAATAACTTGAAGCCATATGAGATGATATATTTATACAAAAATAAAATCAAATTGTTAAAACAGAGTTAGAACCAAGAGTTAGTATCTATTGTCATTCTCTATGGAAACATTTCTGAAACAAACATGAGTTGGCCACCACTTCTACTAAATGCTTTCTGCCATTTAACTTTCATACTTTTCTTTTGGCATTTCTGACCTCATAGCTTAAATAGCATATTAACAAGGCAACTGAGTCACAGAAATCCATCTGCAAGCTATAATGTACAAATGGGTAAGAGGGCAAAATTGGGATCCTAAATTTTAAGGGATTCACCATTTAACTGTAATTACTACAGCCAGATAAATGAATGCTTAAACAATATCCCACAGTCCTGGAATGACACTGCACTAAAGAGATGGGCTCTAAAAGTAGGAATCGATAATTTTAAGACGATGTTACTTTCAGAGCTAACACCTAGTCTGAACAATCTCCAGGGCCTATTCAATCAGGAATGATACCAGGTTTAACCAAATCCACAAGGATAACTGCAAACATGAGCAAATTCCCAGCTCTTCAGCCAGTCCAGTTACGTGTTCTTGGAAGTGGTCCAGAAATAAACAAATCTACCAGGCAGGGTGTCAGAACTGCTCTTCAGCAGATGGTCAACTTCCCCATTCCACTCAAGAGTTGGATGTCAGCCTGATCCACCCTGAGATGAAGGGAAAATGTCAAACTGCACGGAGGCCAAGACCCCATATAAGGCCCTGGAATAGTGGTGCTTCCTGCACTATGGAGATAAGGGAAGCGTTAACACTATCAGGGGGAAATGGCATTACCTGAGCTTCCTGGCAGGCTGCTCTTCTTAGCAAGTTATCACTATCAAACCAAACAAAGAAGAACACATGTTAGCTTTCACAGGAGATTAAGACCCAAACAAGATTTGTGGTTAAAAAATAATAAATGTACCTTAAGTGAAGATTCTTAAAAACCTGATAACAAATCGTGAGCACATTTGAGAAGCACACTATCTGAATGAAATCTTGTTAGGTATTTCCATATTCTGGAGGCTGGAATAATGCCCTAGATGCCCACAGTGTCTACACCCTAATCCCCAGAACTTGAAGATCTGTGACTCCACAAGGCAAAGGAACAGTGTGGATGTAGTTTAGGGCTCTGAGACAGGGAGGGTATCCTGCATATCTGGATACATCTTTCTTTCTCTAAGAGCCTTGAAGGAGGTTTCCTAGCTGTGGTCAGAGCAGATATGATTCTGGAAGGATGGTCACCACCTGGCTGTGAAGGGGCTGTGAACTCAGGAATGTGACAGCCTCTCTAGCAAGTGGCTTCTCCCTGAGCCTCCAGAAGGAATGCAGGCCTTGCTCATAAAATGTTCTGATAAATAGCAACAGTATATAAGCTTCATTTTTACAAATAACATGCTGATAGCCCTTTGTAGTTTACTGGATATTTCACACTTATAATCTTACACAAAAATGGAGAGGTGAACCACTGAACCCACAGAAACCTCTGGACCACAAAGTATTACCAGATTCTTTGTAATCATCATGCATAGTTACCAAATCTCCTGGACTGTGCTAACCACCATCTAGCCCCCACGTAATCCTGGAAATACAGCTTCCAGTCTTTCATGAGAGCAGCACACCAAACTCTTGCTTTTAGTGTTTTTTTGGTTTTTTTGTTTTGTTTTGTTTTTTCTAATAGGCTTCTTTCCTTCAGTCTCCAATCTTTATCCTATGACCTCATCCTGCACAAACTCTGAAGGCTTCTATCACAGCTGCAGGCTGGTCTCTCCATCTCTGTTCATCTCCTCCACTTCTTCCTTCTAGGTCCCTCCCACTCTGCAGGACAGACTTCTAAAGGCTACTGTCTCCTCTCTGGTCACAAGCAGATGTCATTCTTGCTTTGTTTCAGCCACAGAGATTCCCTGGCACTAGCCGAGAGAACTGTCGTACATGTTTATGAAGACATGAAGTGGTACACTGGATTATCACCCCCTCCCACCCCCAAAGTCTTTGCTGTTCTCTAAGTAAAACTTTGATAATTAATCAGTAAGTATATTGAAGATCTTCAGCCTCCCTAGTTTGACACTGCTTCATTTTTCAGAACGCTCTTCAAAAATCAAAAAAATTTGGGTTTAATGCTGTCCCAGTTTGTTTCTCCATTGCTGTGACAAACACTCTGACCACTACCAACTTGGGGAGGAAAGGGATTATTTGTCTTACATCTCCCAGGTCACAGTTCATCAGGGAGCCCAAGGTAGGAACTCAGGGCAGGAACCTGGAGGCAGGAGCTGGAGCACAGGCCATGGAGGAACAGTGCTTACTGGCTTGTTCCCCTGGCCCCTGCTCAGCCTGCTTTCTTATGCAACACAGGCCCACCTGCCCAAGGTGGCACCACCCACAGTGGGCTGGGCCCTCCCACATCACTCAACAATCAAGAAGATGCACCATGGACATGGCCACAGGCCAGTCCAATGAAGGCAAGTCCCCAGTTGAGGCTCCCTCGACCCAGGTGTGTCAAGTTGACACTAAAGCTATCCAGCACAAAGGGGCCAAAGGGAATGCTATCAAGGCCACCTATGAAAAAGCCAGAATACGCACCAACTTAGATCCTACAAAGAAAATCCCAATATAATCACACTTAACTCTAATACGTAAATGGTAAACCACCTCAATCTTGTCTCCAAATCAGACTGTTTTTTAAAAAAAAAATCAAACACATTCTCAAAGAAAGCTTCCTTGCCTTGAGATGGAGCAGCCCCACAGTATCCTGTAAGGACTAGTTCTGGGACACTGCTTCCCTGCCATAGGTGCCCAAATCACGTCTCAGAATACTTAATACAAGATAAATGCTACCTATATATAGTTATATTGTATAATTCAGAGATGAAACAATCTATACATATGTTACATACACAGTTTTTTTCTGAAGACTTTGTATCTGCAGTTGGTTGAATCCACAGATGCGAAACCTACAGATATGGATGGCCAGCTATATTCTGACAATCCATAGCGAGTTCTGAAAACTATTGCAAGAAATTCCAGAAATGCTTTAGTAATAGAGCTTCATCAGAACAGAAGAGAAAATAACTTAAAATGAGGCAAATACTATAACAAATGTTTTCATAAATTTTGAATCCTTGTCACAACCTTATAAGCAAGGCAGAAATTAATACACAATATAGAATGTTCTTGTTTGTGAAGATCTGAGGTTAAAGGTAAGTGACTTGCCCAAAGCATGTTACCAAGTGGTAGGACCAGAATTCAGACCAACCTCACTAAGCAAATATTTATAGACTTTTTTCTCTGTAACTTCAGGCAATACTGAATGAGCAAAAACTCATTTAAATGTAGGCTTTACATTTACAAAATTATCTTGCTTCCTAGTCTTATCTAATAAAATTTTATAATTTACACTCATATAATGTTTGTAAAAAGTCCTGGTGCAAGGAAGATCCTGAAAGTAATTGGTGAGACTAACTCCCTAACACAAAATGCTGCATACAGCACACTGAACAGACTTGGTCCTGCCCTCAAGATGATGGGGTCATGTGGCAAAAACAACTCTTGGTAAAAATGGCAGCATATAAAAGACACATTTCTTGATGAATAATATGCCAGGTTAGGAATCTGGAAAATGATGGTGAATAAGTCAACATTTGCTGGCAATGAGCGGCTTAGTTTACAAAGGAAGACAGTTTAGCGGGTGACCACAATGCAACTTTGCTTGTCATGTGCTGTAGAAAAGAGCACAAAGACGACCACCTATTCTACTCTTGAGGGAATTCTAGAAAGCCTTATACAGGAATAAACACTGAAACTGAGATCTGGGGAAGAAATTAAAATTTTTAAATATCCAGGCAAAATCAAAGGGTAGATGAAAACATCACATCAAACCCTCTAAGTACCAGCACACAACCACTTAGAAAAGTTCAGAGTTGAGTACAGCTAGAGGCAGAAGGCTATGGGAGAAGTGGCAAGAGGTGGTTCCAGGAGCCAGAGAAAAGCCAAGCCACAAGGACCTTTCAAATTGTTTATAGAATTGGGACAGTATCCTAAGTGTCTTAGGAAGCATTAATGAGAGAACTGATATGACGAGACTTGCATTTTAAAAGGGTCGTTCTGGTTGCAACAGAAGGCAATGGTCAGAGGTAAGGCTGAACCCGAGGAGACGAGGGAGCCTTCCCCAGCGATATAGGCAGTAACAAGGACTGGAAGTAGGGTTATGGCAGAGAACCAGAGAAGAGCACAGGTTCTGCACACATTCAGAAGTAAACATGCAGGGTGGCTCATGAGAATCAAAGGAAAGAGGGGATTCAAAAAAGCAGACAGAAATCTTGTGGAAGGTAATTCTGTCCAAAGATGGAACAAAGAGACACAGGTACAGAAGGAGAGGACTGAGCTTAGTGCTGGCTTTGTCAACCTGGGACAATGGTGAGGTATCAGGTAAGGGGACTAGAGGACAGTTAGAAACGGGTGTAGGATAGGAGGCAGTGATCATGGTACAAGGGCAGATTGGAGAGTAGGTCTCGGAGTGATGACACTGAAGCAGCAGGACACTGAACGTGGCACAGTTGGCAGAGAACACCAAGCAAATCCCAATAAATGAAATGAAACATGGAAACTCTGGTGGAGAACTGAGGAAAAAGATGGAGTTTTTCTTACCTCCCATGGTTCCCTTTGACATTGCTTTTATACTCACTCAGTAAACTGCATGTTTTGCTACTCCTGTAAGACAATGGTTTTTTATCTACAAGGTTTAAATCATCTTATTCTCCCCTGGGTGCTATTGTCTAAATATGGGATTTTCCCCATAGGCCCCTGTTTTAGATACCTGGTCCCCAGCTGGTGGTGCTATTTTGGAGGCTAGAAAGTGGGACCTAGCTGGCTGAAGTGGTCATTCTGGGGTCATCCTTTGAAGATTCTACACGCCCCTCGTTCCAGCCTGCTCTCTCTGGTCTTCTGACCTACCACGTGTTGAGCACCACAAACCCCTGTTCCCCCGCCATGTCTTCCCTACCATGATGAACTGTAATCCTCTTGAAACGGTGAGTCAAAATAAGTCTTTCCTGCCTTAGGCTGTTTCTGTCTATTATTTTGGTCACAGTGAGGAAAAGCAATTAACATGACTTTCGTGGAAAAAAAAATAGACCACATACAATACTGCCCCTGCCCTTGCCCCACCCAACATAAAATTGCTTGCTTCATGTTCCCTACTGGATTATGAACTTCTTTAAATAATGGATAGTTTGCCACTTTTTCTTATACAGATGATAGCACAGACTCTTGTAGACTGTGGGAGCTCGATGAATACTTGTTAATAAATAAGTGGCAAATGTTTGAACAGGAAAATTGACTCACTGTGTTCAGACAGGCAGAGTTTGCCCTCGAAGGAAAACTGAAGGTTATTCTTATACAAGTACCTGCCATTCCTGAACCAGTAGATCATCTGAGATAGCTGTCTAGTGCACCAAAGGCAGAAGTCAGAGTCAGTACCATAGCACAGGATGAAAGCCCGAAACTGTCATGGGAACACTGCCAGCTCAGAAGGTCTCAAGGTGTATATGAGCATGCACATGTAGAATCAATGTAACTGGTACTCAAAACTCTTAAGTGAGGAACTCTGGAAGGAAACCCAAGAACTGTCCCAGTGGCTGATAGACTATGGTTGTCATAAAATTCCAGATTGCTAATGGGTCACGAATCCAAATATAAACCAAAAACCTTGCTACCAAACACACAAAAGGTAATTGTACATACATCATAAGCCCATGTTCCTTCTATACCATGGTGCCTCCTGGGAATGGAAGTTAACACAATTCATAAGAGGTAGTCATATGAGAAAGGGTCCCTGAA